TTAATATCTGTTTTGAGTTTAAACAAGTATGGATATCACTCGTTGAATATAATAAAAAATATTTCATCGAAAATATCCGAATTTCTTATGATGTTGTTCACGGTATGGGAACATCGAACATGTTCAGTCATCTCAGACAAGTTATAATAGAATACAATAAATTTAATAAAAAAAATAATCCAATTCTTTAATGTGCACTTAATACTCTATACTGTTTTCTTCTTCCCAATTCTTCTTGTTTATGACTTCATGAATCTTGGAATACCAAAAGTGATCTTCAAAAAATATATAAGAATATAAATAATAATTAAAGTTAAAGATGACTATTATCGATTAATTAGTAGCTGACTGCCACATGCTAGAATCCAAATTTCTCAGGTTCATGCTTATGTAATCTTATTAATTGCTTCTTGACATAGAAAGATCTTATAGCCATTAAATTATATGGGGGCTTGTTCATCACTCAGGTAACGTGTTTGATGATGAACAGAAAAAAATTAAAATAATTTGGTAAACTAATAAAGCAATTAATTCCCAATAGAAAATCAACATCTAGTTAAACCTTTTTTTTAAGGGGATGATCATCTGATTTGGGTAAACCTTGCTATATTTCGCCAAGCAATTGGAAGGTGTTTGTTGATCAGTGGACAGGCCGAAAAGGTGCTGGAAAAATGGGATTTTGATAAGGAAATGATGACATTTGTTACATTAAATTATCAAAGTAAAATAAAACAGATGACACTTGCCATCTTTCTGATCCATTTTTCTTCCAATTTCAACTTTCCATTTTCTTGGGGAAATCCTTTGATTAGCAGACTGGAAGTGCATTGGTTGTATGATTAGCAGACAAGCATGAGCTAAGCTTCTATTTAGCACTTTATTTAATTTGACTTCTGAACTGTTTTACTTCAATTTTTATGGAGATTAAGATAAATTTTTTTATTTTAATGCATTTTATATTAAAATTTTGAAAAAATTAAAATATGGATGTTTGATGTTTCTTAATATAAAAAATAAATTTATAATACAAAAAACTAACAATATTAAGTGTTTAAAAACGAAATGGGAATTTCATCTCTTTTAACTAGGGAATTTGCCCTTTATACGTTTTGCAATGGCTGTAGACTTTTAAACAGGAGCCAAGTGTCGAAGATATAAACTTAAATTATACTTAATTTTCCGTTAATAAAATTGACAACATATATGGTACAGTCCCCACAAACTAGGAATACAATTGATTAAAATATAAACCCTTTTAATGCTCACGTATATATTAACCTATCATCTCTTCTAGTTATTTCTGCTTCAAACCATAGAAAAAATAAATAAATTTATATATTAATCAAAAAAAAGAGAAACGAATTTACAAAAACAAAAAGGCTATGTGAAAATATGCTATATGCTACATCGATCGTAACGCTTCTAGAGAGAGAGAGGAGGTACTTTAAGTAATTCTATTTAATTTTTTTTCCTGGTAATAATTGAAATCATATGGACATTTGTTTAAACATAGTATGTCAATTTCACCTTTATAAACTCAAATTGGCTCTGTTCGCTAAAAGTCAACAACCATTTTTTTAGGAAAAGAGTGACCAGAAATTTCAAAAAGGCTTCTATAAGGAAATTAATATTCCACAACTACCGGCAACAATAGGATATACATTGAATTAATACAAGTGTAATATAGACTACATATACAAGGTTATGCCGACCAGCAACTTTATATTATTTTCAGTAAGCATATGTATACCCTAATATTTGTGACGCCTTGAGTATGCTTTGCTTATATCATCTTCTCCTGCTGGATTCATACACACCCATTAAGATCATTGGCATTATTATTAATTAATAATAATGTATTAATCTCTCTACTTAATCACCAATTAAACTTTACTTATTTTGGCAAAAATACTAGAAAAATTCATTTACTTATCCAATTAAGCCCATGTCAGTATTTACGTGATCGTTATATCTACCACGTCAATTTCTACTCGGCATATGCTTGACAAATTCTTTTATTTCAAAATCCAAAATCTTTGGGAAAATGTTGGTCCAATAATTGATGGAGGTGAAGAGCCAAAGACCCATAAGGCAAATAGCTTCACATGTTTGGTTGCCGCAGACAAAGTATCTCTGTCTCCGTTGATTAAGAACCTCAACATATGCCATCATGCTAACGTAGTGTGACCTGTCCCGACGACACATGTAGACATGCCATTGGGCAGCATGGATTACGTGGCAAGAAGAAAGCGTACCCAAAATTAGTTCAATAATGTGAAGAACAAGTTGCGTGGCGGTTGGCGTTCGTGGGATGCAGAAGGCCGTTGTCTCTGCCAATCAGGAATTGCAGGTGGCAGCCATTCAAGATCCTTTGACAAATTTTAGCAGCTCGAAAACGTGAAAACCAAAAATGGTTTCTGAGGGGCAGGTGACACGGTTCGTTAGTCTTGGACTTTCTACAGGACAACAACAAAGCTTGTCTGGTTCACCGAACCTGTACGCGGCTAGTCTTGGACTTTCTTGAGCAAGATGCTATCCTTTTATGTCATGTGAAACTCGAAATTAATGTTTCGACGGTAACAAGAACTTCGATAACATTTAGTATAAGAAAAGTAAAAATATATTTTTTATAATATATTTAATTAAATTAAATTATAATATTTATTTTTTAATAAATCACTGTAATATAAGATTGCAATACAATTATATTATGCAATCACATTACATTACACCCTACAATATTTTTAAAGATATTTTTACCTTTTAATTTTATTACTTTGCTAAAAATATTTTATAATATTATAATTAAAATAAAAAAATTAAAAATAAAATATAAAAAATTAAAATTTATATAATATAGGTAAAAGAAATTAAAATAAAATATATAATATCAAAAATTATATTAAAGAAATGAAAAAAAATATTTAACATTAAAAATATATTTAATAGATAATATTATATAAAAATTAATAATAAAAAATATACGTATATTAAACTTACATTTTAATAAATATGAATAATTCTGAAAATTAACATTATATTCTCAACAAAGTACTTGTAAACTAATTACTGTAATGTTATCTTTTTCACATTTTAATCATTATTTTGCTTGTATACCAAATACTATAATACTATTTTCTCTATAATCACATTGTTTATAATCATATTATTTGCAATCACATTACATTGTAAAATATCAAATGCCACCCTATAGTTATCATGTTTTTATATATTAAAAACTTATTACTGATCTGTTATGTTGATTATTTTCGAGGAATTTGATTAAGAAGACAATTACCCTAAGAAAAGGATAAGAAGAAAATTGTATGCTAAAATTTATTGTGGAATGGCATGTCCTTTGGTGGTAATAGAATATACCAGAGAGAGGGATCAACCTATGCTGATGGAAGCTGAGGGGGTCTACTTCCAAAGGCACTAAAAGCAAAGCATGGGGGGGAGCTCTAATTGGCTGTGATCATCACCATTGGCGTTGTTTTCCGTTGATTTCTCTGTTTGCCACTATTGCGAAAGGTGCTGTACAGATATGAAACACAATGGCTTGATGTTTCAATCAGCGAGCTAATAATAATGAAAATAACCTCCTAATCACCTTTGCAAAGGACAAGCAGAACGTTACATTAGGATATGAAGGAGCGCTCGATCCAATAAAGCATCATTGTTTCTGATAAACATGGGCAACTGATCTAGAGTAATCCATGTATGATCATATATCTCCACCTCACGTGCATTCCATTCAGCCATGGATCTTTCTATGTTATCCCACATGAAAATGATTGGTTCTGTACGAATTTGTTTAATTAGTCCAAAATTTATATGGATTAAGGAATGAGAGTGAGAATCGAGAGAATAAATGATGCTATCCATACATTAACGTTATTAGTTATAAACTTAGTCTGATAAATACATTATATTTTTTGAACTACAAATGAATTGATCGATGATTTTGTCAAATCTAGTATCTAAAAAATTCATGATTTTATGTTTTTATTAAATAATCTAGAGTGGTGGTGACGGTGTAATTTGCATGCTGATACATTTTAATTATAATTAATGCACTGAACTTTGCTTTAAAAAAAATTAGTCATATACAAGAACAAGATTGGTAATTATGAAGAAATGAAAGTTAAATCAATCTCCCATTCTTTTATGTACTTAATTATATACGTGTCCTATCTACCTCTAAGACTTAAACTTGAATACAAGACTTTCATAGCATTAAAGATTGCTCAAGAATAAAGCTATCATGAAATGTTGCTTCGTAGTGAAAGGGTGTAAAGGCTTCGAAAAAGACACAAGAATAACCAAAATTAAAAAGAGAAAAAACGAGAACAAAGCTTTGCCTAACATCTTCCAAAAAAAAGGAAACCCTATATTAATAAAGAATCTTTTATTTATCATTAAACTTTTTTCAATGTGAAGAATGTTATTTAGTTTATATTTGATATATCATCGATAAATAATATTTATACATTATCACTTAATTATAAAATATCACGAGAAATTAAGGAAGAAGGAACTTGTTTTGTAACTTTTTTTTGTTTTTTTTTGGAAAGGGTTTTACATTACGTATTTGCATGTTTTTGACAATTTCAAAATGTCAATGGTCAATATCTTCCTAACTATGGAAACTTATGGTCAAACTTCTAGTCTCCTAACACTTTCACATGCAACAAAACCCTTTTGCTCCTTTGGGAAATCCAAAAGGAATTTCTATTTTTACATATTCAAAATTTAGCTAATCTTAACGTGTGAAGATCAAACGCCGCGAAGAACCAAGCAATTTTCTATTGCTACTACTAGAAAACAATAATACACCGAAATTTCATTGCCAACTCTATTGTCGCTTCCTTCTCACCGGCACACCCGGTTTGCCGGTTCGTAATGATTACGATTCATCCCACCACGTGTCAAGAACCCAGAGAGTCAGATTACCTACCACTATTCATTCCCATCTAGATATATATTCCTTTTGCCCGACCGTTTTTCCAGTCTCTGTAATCCTATCAAAAGCAAAGAAATTAGAAGCAAACACTCAAATTTTTTCTCCTAGCCCTTCATTTTATATCAAATTTCTTGTCCAATTTTCGGTTTATTTCTCATTGTTAATTTTACCAGGAAACAGATGAGAAACGACGGTGGTGGAACGATGGTTATGGAAGGAAACAGCCTCCATAAACGACCAAATCTGAGTTCTCTCTTCCAACAATCCGAACCTTCTTTGTTTTCTGTGAACAATAGCGTTGTTGTAGATGACGTGTTCCCCAATAGTAAAAGCAGCGCCTCTTTGGCAAGCCCGAGGAATTCCAACAGCACAACGACAAGCGGCGAGGGTTCTCCTTACCTCATGTCACCATGGAACCAACCTTCTCCGTACAATAAATCTCCATGGATCACCCCATCTCCACTCGAGAATGATTTTGGCCAAAACGGGCTTATTGGGTTCATTGTACGAGAGGAAGGTCATATTTATTCGTTAGCTGCTTCTCGAGATTTGTTATACACGGGTTCTGATAGCAGGAACATCCGCGTGTGGAAGGGCTTGAAGGACTTTTCGGGTTTTAAAGCTAAAAGTGGCTTGGTTAAAGCCATTATTGTGTTGGGTGATAGGATCTTCACTGGTCACCAAGACGGTAAAATCCGTGTCTGGAAGGTTTCATCGACAAACCCTAGTGTCCACAAAAGATTCGGTAGTTTGCCAACTTTGAAAGATTTAATTAAAAGCTCTGTTAAACCCAAGAACTACGTTGAAGTTCGGAGGAAACGTAGCGTTCTGCGAATCAAGCACTTCGACGCTGTTTCTTGCTTGAGCTTGAACGAAGAGCTTGGGTTGCTATATTCAGGATCTTGGGATAAAACCTTGAAAGTTTGGCGACTGGCGAACTCGAAATGCTTGGAATCCATCGACGCTCATGATGACGCCATAAATTCTGTCGTGGCAGGATTCGATAGCCTGGTCTTTACGGGGTCGGCAGATGGGACAGTCAAGGTATGGAAGAGAGAGTTGCAGGGGAAAGGGACGCAACATTTCCTGGTTCAAGTATTGTTGAGGCAAGAAAACGCTGTGACAGCACTGGCTGCGAACCAAGAATCAGCTGTGCTGTATTGCGGGTCGTCCGACGGGCTTGTCAACTTCTGGGATCGTGAAAAGCACCTGTCACATGGCGGGGTCCTAAGGGGCCATAAAATGGCTGTGCTGTGCTTGGCGACAGCCGGGAACTTGGTGTTTAGCGGGTCAGCCGATAAGAGCATATGCGTGTGGAGAAGAGAACAAGGTGGAATTCACACGTGCCTTTCTGTCTTAACAGGTCACGCCGGCCCCGTCAAGTGCCTAGCCGTTGCAGAAGACCACCAAACATCAACCAAGGCTGATCGAAAGTGGATTGTTTACAGTGGCAGCCTGGACAAGTCCGTCAAGGTATGGCGCGTGTCCGAACACGCTCCGGACCTGAAGGAGATCCAACAGGGTTACCTCAACGGGCACGCGGCCAATGATGACGCGGCGATGGGAAAGAGGTAACCTGTGAAGCAGGCACTGTCAAAGTAAAAAAAAAAAACAAAAAAAGAGAAAACGAAGGAACAGTAGCACGCGGAGCCACGGTACCTCAGAAAGTTGCATGGCGCCGAGGCGTGGTCCCGGTCTGATTCGAGCCTTACCCTCGAAGGCACTTTTGGTAGGTGCGGACGGCGCCACTTGTACAAATCGAATGACTTTAACAAATGTCAGAGTGCCACATCAGAAACAAGTAAAATACAACTTTCGAAGTCCTAGCACAAAGAAAAATACAATTATTTGCTTTAATTTTGTTTGCTTCCTTTGTGTAAATGTATTAAAAGCACATATTTTGCCGCCACGAATTGTTGTTAAAAAGGGGTGGGAGGCTCCTTCATCTTGAAAAGTACATTACTTATAGCCCAAGGTTGACAAAATGCATTGAATTGGTAAATGACTTTTTGGTGTTCTTCTTTCAACTCACTTTGTGGTATTTCAATTTCTAATTCACTTCATGTACTCTGCTATTTGATGTAATGTAATCTTTTATGAGTATCCATAATAGATTTAGTATTTTATGTGAAAGGTAATTATATAATATCATGGATTAAGTCAATGATACGATTTGAATAAAAAATAAAAATAAAGAGATAACGATCGCTAACCCTTACCACCACATTCGATCTACTTTGATAACTATGTTGAGGCGAAAATCGTTGGTTTCGTGACTTTACAACTTGTTGTTTACAAATTTGAACAAACTTGGGAGTTGATTTTTTTTCACTCCATTAATTGTGAAAGAAACCCATCAAATCGTATGCTGCAATTGCAATGTTGGTGCCTACATATTCTAAGTAGCCTTAGTATAACTAAATTATTTGAGAATGAACTTTATCCCAATTTCAACTAAGTCTAGCCTTAGTAGTTGAATTGATTTAGTTGACTTTGTTGGACAATAAATTGGAGAAGCTTAATAGCTTATCATACATGTACATGTGTGTCATGTTTTGGTTAAATAGCGTACGCTTTGATCTTGAGTAAAACCACATTATTTTCCAAGCTTTTAATCCCACATTAAAGCCATGCGTTGACCAATTGATACGCAACCAGATGGTTACTAAAAGAGATTATCAAATTTGTTTAAAATGAATATTAATGGTACAAATCAAAATAATAGATCGAAATTGATTGAATATAATTAATTTGATTCGAATTTTTCTATTTTGATACTAATTGATTATAAAGTTCGAATTATTTGATTTTTTCTATCGATTGAAAAATCGATCATGAGTATTTATCCTTTTTAAATACACATTTACATATTCTTAATATTTTAAACACATACGCGATTAAATTAAAAGCATTTATGTTTTGTTAATGAAATATTAAGAAAAATATTTTAAATATATTATACATATTATTAATAGTTAAAATCGATCAAATCGATCGAAATAATAATAAATTAAGATGTCATTGACGCACTTTATCATCATAAATATAGCTTCTCTTCTTGCAAGGACTTAGCAAGAAATGAAATTTAATGGCCTGGGTTCAGCCATTTATTAATATCCATAGAAATTGACAAGCAATTTTGGATGGTTTCAACTTTGAATATAAATTAAGAAACATTTTGAGGTTTTCATTTATCCCAAAAGAAATTAATTGGATTTAATTTTATTTTGGGCTAGTGAAGGACCAACCCATGGGCTTACATCGACCCAAAGAGTAATGGGCCTCATGGAACAGTGTCTTCAAATTTCTCAAATCCTAATAAACTTCTCACACCCATCTGTTATTATTCAATTATTTGGACTCCGTTTGATTGATATATTTGTTATTTACATTTCGTTACCTATCTTATATAATTTACTCATTTTTTTTGTTATTTTTATTTTTTTTTAAAAAATACCAAAAAAATGAAATTTTATTAAACGATTTCCACATTATTTTTAGTTATAATATTGGTTTGTTGCTTCCAAGTCCCAAATGCAACATTGAATTAGTTTTATAACCAAGAGTAATGAATACATCCATAACCTTCCACCCTGAGAAATCAATATTAAATTCGAACATTTGATTTTTTGATTGATATATAAATTTTTATTAAAAAAATACGATTCAAATTCTCTTCACTCAATTCTTTAAAAAAAATTATTTTCGTAAAAAATACCGATGGAAAAGATAATCCACATTCAACATTTTCAAAGCTAATCCCATGTGCCAATCCTCTTCATCATTTGCCAAGTCAAAGATAAGACCTCAATCAATGGGTGAAACATCTACTAATTTCTACCAAAATTGCACTCTTCAACCAAACCTTTTTGCATTGTGACTGGGTTTTCCTTTTTGTCTTTTCATTTACTTCACTTTATGTCAAATTTTGAATTTTATTTTATTTTTTTTAAAAGAAAAGGCGTACATTGACCAACTCATTTATTTGATTAGAAATAAAGTAATGCAAAGTCAATCGAGACATCATATATTATTGCTTTCGAAACATTATATTTTAAATAATATATTTATCACACTATAATAGTAACCATAAAGACAAAAGAATCTTTACTTTATAACTTCAAATACAAATCTGAATTAACAAATTAAGTCTTTTTTACTAATCTTAATTTTAGTATTGAATTAGAGTATAATCCATATTATATGTTCGAAATATTATATTTTAAATGATATATTTATAATACAAGAATAGTAATTAAAAACAGAAAGAAAAGTTCTATTTTATTACTTTAAGTGCAAATCCCAATTAACTAATAAAGTCGGTTTAATAGTTTTAATAACTTTATTATATTAAGAATTTTCCAATTATGAGTTCAAACCTCGTGACAAATGGACCTTCTTTACTAAGCAAAAGACTTCCTCAACTCAAACTCTTCCCTATTTGTTTACCAAGTCAGACAAAGACCCAAATTACGTGTGCCAAGCACGTCTTAATATTTTATATTCCTTTCTTTTTTATTTAATCTTTAGTAATTAAACAGCAATAAAATTGGAATTAAGGAAGGGGTTAATTTAATAAGAAACACTTCATAGTTTTCCTTCTTTCCATACAGTCTCCTTCCACCTTTCACTTTCCTTACATTATAACAAATTTGACTTACGATAGTATTTTTTTCTTTTAACATTATCAATTTTTTTTAATCGTACTTTTTTTTATCTTTTATCAGTATTTTTATTAAATTAATTACATTATACAAAATTTTTACGTGTTTCAGTAAAATATGACAGTAAAAGTTTCCTGCAATGGAGAAAATATGAAAAATAAACTTGTAAATACTTTTTGACTTTGAAATTAAAACTTATCCATATGTTTTAATTATCTTTAAAAAAAAATTCAAGAAGTAAAAAGTTTTCGCTTAGAATCACATAAGTAAATTAAAAAAGTCTACTTGTTTGGTGTCGGTTGCATAATTTGACTGTCAAGTTTTCAATTTCATATTTAGTAATAAAAGACACTTTAACTTTTAAATAGTAAATCTTGAATTGTTTATCTTAATTACATAAATAAATTATTTATTAATAAAAATAATATTAATATTAAAAATTTACTAAATTCTGAACGAAACATTGAGTAAAAAACTTTTTACTAGGAAAGGAAGCATACAAAGATAAATTTCCTCCCAAATAGAGAGAAAATCTCTCATTTTTCCTTAATTATTACCTTTCTTTTCATTTTCTCCAAATTTTCTCGTCCTTTCCTGTGCATTTCCTTAATTTACTCCTCATCCAAACATAACGTTAGGTGACGTAACTGCGAAATCGCGTCACAAACCAATTAGCCTCCGCATTCGGTCGTTCTCCACTTGACACCCTTTTTATTAATTCTCCTTTGACATTGACACATTTTCAAGTAAAGAAAGAGCCCTCCAATCTTCATCTCTCCCCTTCGTGTTTCCCAGCAGTTTCTTCTCCAGCGTGTTGACGTGGAAAAACAATGAATAATTGTAAGACAATTATGTCTAGTCAGTCATCTCTCCAGTCGCCATCGTTTACTGGCAAGGGAAGACTCGGCATTTTCTTTCTTCTTTATTATTGTTTGCAACCATTTCCATTCTCATTTCTCTGGGAAATTTCCCAGTTTCACTTCTCTGGGCCAATCCCTGTCGGTTTCCCATATTCCTTGTTGGTTGCTTTCTCTTGTAGACCTCAAAGAAAGAGAACAGAAAAACAGAGGGTCTTTTGTAGGTGATGAAGGGAAAGAAAATAGCTTTATTTGATTGTTTGAATAGGTTTTCAGCAGATTGTAGTTCTGGTGGCTAATGGGTGTTAGAGTTTGATTCTTTTGGTTGTCGGGAGATATGCTTCATGGGTTTTTGATGTAGGCTGTTTTTTCTTCATGGGAATTTGAGGTTTTTGGGTTTGCTTCATGGGTTTTTGAGATAATTGGTTATATTCTTGGGTTTATGGGATTGGGATTGGTGGCTTGATTCTTGAAATTGAGACTTAAAGAAGCGATGACTGGCCTTTTAAGGAAAATCCTTCCTGTTGGGAAATCAACTGCTCAAGATGACGATGATGATAACGATAATGTTGAATACTCATTTGCTATTGAGTACCATGGTCCTCCGGTCACTTATGATATCCCAAAAGCAATTCCGGTGGACGTTGACCAACTCCCCACTGCTGCCGCAGTTTCCTCTTCCTATGTTTTGAATGAGAATTCATTGCCAGTTATCCAACCAATTGTAAAGACTAATCCAGTGAAGCAAAAATGGTCCGAAGATAAGAAATTTGGTTCTAGACCTGGCTCAGCTCGAAAATCCATTGATCGTCCTGGTGTGTCCAATGAATCATCAGTTCAAGTTGAAAGCTTGGATACATTAGGTCAGGGAATTGATGGTGGGTGCAGAACGAAATTATGTGATGGAATGGGAAGTTCTGGTAACCTGGAAATATCTGTTGTTCATGATAGTTTGCGAAAATCATCAGGAGGTTTGGCTGAGTTAGAGCTTACTGATCATGGTGAGGAAGGCTTAGGGTTGCAGAAGTATATGGATCCTGCTGATTCTGATACAACAGAGTCAGTTTCAAGCTCACCTGCGCTTTCATCATCTGATGTCTTTTCGCAAAAAGGGGAGGATGCTAACAATGAGACTCCTTGCCATGTCAGAAGACCATCTGTTGTAACTTTCCTTGATCCTGAATCAGGTGACATGGTTCAGGAAGATTCCAGCTACTATGAGACAGAAAGCAGCGATGCTGCACAACCCATTGCAAGGAACGGGAAAAAGGGGTCATGCTATAAGTGCTTAAAGGGAAACCGGTTTACAGCAAAGGAGATTTGCATTGTTTGTAATGCTAAGTATTGTTATAAGTGTGTACTGAAAGCAATGGGGTCGATGCCAGAGGGAAGAAAATGTGTTACTTGCATCGGTAAGAAGATAAATGAGTCAAGGCGAGAAACTCTTGGAAAATGTTCTCGGCTGCTCAAGCGGCTGCTCAATGAGTTGGAAGTTCGACAGGCAATGAGTTCCGAGAAAACGTGTGAGGCAAACCAGCTACCACCTGAGCTGGTTGTTGTGAATGGAGAGCCACTGAGTCAAGATGAGTTGCATTCTTTGCAGATCTGCCAAAACCCGCCAAGAAAAGTAAAACCAGGATTCTATTGGTATGATAAATTATCTGGTCTTTGGGGAAAGGTAATAACCAGAAGTTGTTCATGTCCTTCCTTCCCTTTTTTTTTTTCTATTTTTTCAAAAAAAGAAGAAGAAGGAAGTATTCTAACTTCCATTCTGTTGCATTAAAATTGAACTACTGTTCTGTTAAACAATCAGGAAGGACATGGGCCTTGCCAGATTATTACTGCACAGCTAAATGTTGGAGGTCACCTGAAGGCTAATGCTAGCAATGGAAATGCAAAGATAGTTATAAATAATCGAGAGATTACTAAGAAAGAGCTGTGGATGCTGCAGGTTGTTATACTGTACATGATTAAGCTTTTAAATTATGATTTTTTAGATATGTAAGTTCAATGCCATTCTGTTAAATATTTGCAGTTGGCAGGAGTTCATTGTGAAGGAAAACCTAGCTTTTGGCTTAGTGCGGATGGATCCTACCAGGAAGAGGGTCAGAAGAATGTAAAGGGGCCTATATGGGACAAGGTATATATGCACGTGGATATTCATACAGCAGGCATTATGTTTTCCTCATATCATGTACCAAGAATAATATTGTATTTTTATTTTCAGATGGGAATTAGGCTTTTTTGTGCTCTCTTGTCTTTGCCGGTTCCTCCTGTTACTGTGAATCCTGCTGGAGAAGATGTCAGCCAGGAAACACTAGAGCAGCAAGTACTTCACAAACTTCTTCTAGTTGGCTATCAAAAGTCTGGCACAAGTACTATATATAAGCAGGTAATATATTGATGGAGGCAACTCATTTAAACTAACATTTACCCTCATTTTGGTGGCTGTAAATAGAATTTATGTTACTTTTGCTCTTTTAACATATACCTTTCTTCTATCATTCATCCTAAGATGGAGATATTGGATCTTGAGCTGACTTACCATTGGGCTTTGTCCACCAAAATTGATAGGTCTCATCAGTTCAGCCATGAAAAGAGGCCTTTGACAACAAACTAGACTTTTTAAAGGATTGAGGAGCTTGAACAACAGTGATGGAATTGGGAAAACACAATGTATAGATTTAATTATCTGTTTTCTTTAAAAGATAAGTTAAAGTAACTTTTGTCCATAGATTTACCCTCGAAAATCTAAAAGAAAAAGGAACATATATGCCTTCATTTCATTGCTAGAAGAAGAGGCCCTGAATTCTATCTTGTTCCAATAGCCTTTGAATTATTTCTATTTCTTAAGCCATTATAGATGTGTTAAAGTGCAATTGGTGATCAAGAATGTAAATCAATCCTCATTAATGCTTCTATGCGCACAACTATCTTTGATTATGATTTAAAATTTTCTTCATACTTATGACAATTAAATTTGGTTTTGTGACACTGGAAATGCAGAATAGGCTTTCTAAATGAAGCATTAAATTTGTTACTTGCTTATTTCAGGCCAAGATTCTGTATAATATTTCTTTCTCTGAAGATGAGCGCCAAAGCATCAAGTTGATGATCCAAAGCAATTTGTATGGCTATTTCAGTATATTGCTTGAGGGGCGAGAACGGTTCGAAGAAGAAAGCCAGATTGCTGATGGATCTGGTTCTTCAGGTACAATAAGTAGTGGTTTATTCAGTACTCATTTTCACCAATTTTTTTTTCTTTTCTCTGAGAATTTTCTTATTAAATTATAACTCTAAGCCTTTTTGACATTAGTTTATACTTTATAGATGCATTTTCAAGAAAACCTTTTAAACTTTCTCCCCTGTAATACTTCAATCAGTTGTGATAAGCCTCATAGGTACCAAGATGATCTGTAAAAGCCTTAGTGGACGGGCATCAGGTATTTACTTTTAGGTTTTCCCACTATTATTATACATAAAGAACAAGAATGTCAGCAGACTAATAATCAAATGTTTAATAAACAAATTTACCAGTGAAATGGAAATTTTTTTATTGCTATCTGTTGTATCTAAATGCCCTTAGTTATATTACTGTTACTATATTTGTTCTTTCCTTTTTTTTTTGAAAGTGTAGTAGTAGCTTTGCTCTTGCACTTTAGATGTGTATTATTTGCATTTCTTGTAATATATTGGGCTAGAGGAAACTTGCATTTGGCGTAGAATAATTGACTTTATGATGGAATAGAGTTTGAGCTCTTTGTTTACAACAGGCAGTGCAAGCCAGATTGATGGTCAAACAAAATATTCCATTTGCCCAAGACTTAAAGCTTTCTCGGATTGGCTTGTGCAAGTGATGGTGTCTGGTAATTTGGAAGCCATCTTCCCAGCTGCTAGTCGTGAATATGCACCATTTATTAGGGAGCTATGGAATGATGCAGCCTTTCAGGCCACGTATAACAGAAGGCATGAACTAGAAATGCTGCCCAGAGTTGCTACTTATTTCCTAGAACGGGTAAGCCCACTCTATGGGGTCCAACTTCTAACCTCCCCTCTCCCTTTCAACATTTTTTCTTTTTTTGTGCTTTTTGGTTATTAAAATATGCTTGTCTAATTTGTTGACTGATGCTTTCCTGCTTGGCTATTCTATATATTGTGGTATAAATTTTATAACATGCATAGTTTGCCATATACTTCAAGTTTGCTGCCACTGAGCAATTTCTTTATCCTGCCAACTAAAACTTTTTGATGAAACTAAATTGGCAGCTGAAATTGCTAGTTTTTTAGTTAATTTGTTAAAGCTTGAAGAAGAAAATTGCAGGATCTGGCAGCATTTCAACTTCTATGACCACTCTTCACTTTATTGAATTCTGGTTTCTTAGCAATTCTAATAGTTTAAAGCTATCTTCTTCTCAGGCTGTTGAGATCTCAAGGATGGATTATGAGCCCTCTGACATGGACATCTTGTATGCTGAGGGAATTACATCATCCAATGGAATTTCTTGCATGGAATTCTCTTTTCCCACAATAGAACGAGAAAACTCTATTGATGGTTATCAGCATGACCCATCAGCGAGGTTAGTTATATTCTATTCTATGCGTAGATTATTTACTTTTATTTGCTACAAATGCCTTAAAACTTGTTTAGATGCCTTGTGATGTCCCGAGTAAATCTCATCTTGGAATAGAAAGATCGAGTTATTTGTGATGTTGATGACTGATAAGCTGCAATCTCAAGCAACTCAAATTATTTTCAACTAAATTATAGTTCATTGCATCTGACACATCCTTAAAGTAGGAAGAGTGCATCATTGGAAGATTTCATATTCTTCTTAAGTGAATTTAAGCAATCCATTTTCCTATGGTATCAAATAAAGATTTATCTTTCATACAGGCAAAAGTAGGAATCTTTCATTATGTTATTTAGAAAAAAAAGAGGAGGAAAACAAAGGAATGCTCTTTATCTCCGTCTTCATGGTAATGAAAGGAAAAAGAGAGGTTTCCTTCATATGCTTCAGGCCTCAAACCTGAGCAGATCTACTACTGGGCACTCGCATATATTTATCTAGCTTAGCCTTTCATTCTCTGAATCTGCAGGTACCAACTCATTAGACTGCATCCCAGTAGCCTTGGGGAGAACTGCAAGTGGGTGGAAATGTTTGAAGACGTTAACATGGTCCTGTTTAGTGTCTCCTTAACCGACTATGATGAGTTCTCACTCGACAGCAATGGAGTTCTCACAAACAAAATGTTGGCAAGCAAGCAACTTTTTGAATGTATGGTCACCCATCCAACCTTTGAGGGAAAGGACTTCCTTCTAATACTCAACAAAGCTGACCTGCTCGAAGAAAAGATTGAGCAGGTTCCCCTGACTCGATGTGAATGGTTTCATGACTTCAATCCAGTTATCAGCCATAATCACTATAACCAAAACACCGACAGCAACAGCAGAAATAATCACACCACACTAGCACAGCGTGCCTTCCACTATATCGCTGTGAAGTTCAAGAGATTGTTCAGTTATCTTACCGGTCGTAAGTTGTACGTTTCAATGGTTACCGGCTTGGAGCCTGATTCTGTTGATGAAGCTCTGAGATACACCAGGGACATTCGTAAGTGGAATGAGTATGAAAATAGCTTTGGTAACAATGAATTGTCCTCTACGGATATTGAGGTAAGCTCAACCTCATGACCCTTTTTTTTCTCTTTCAAAAGAAAAATCGAACCAACCCCACTTGAATATATCAGATGTAGAGAAATCAGATTCTTAGACCTGAAACCAAGGTTCTTTCTGCCATTAGTGCAGATTCCTTTATTTTTTTGTTTTTTTAGTTCTAAATCTATAGAACTCAATGGTGAAGCAGTGTAAGACATGTTGTATGCTTTAAATCACTGTCAATGCTTCAAATTTAACTAGCAGAAGAATACGGTGAGAAGAAATCAGAAAAGCTTTTGACTTTTGTGCCAAGAATTCCTTTGTTCTATGAACAGCTAAACATATACGGAGCTAAAGGTAAAAGATAAATGAACATTGCAAATCAAAGCTGCCATGAACATATTAATGAAACCATATCCACAACAAAACAACTCTAATTACACAGAGCATGATAAGAAACCTTGTTTTTACTTAGAAGCTCGAAAAAAAGTTACAACGGAACTTCTTGAACACTTTTTTTTCTTATTCTCTCAATCACCAAGGCACAAACCGATCCATAAGCAAACAGACAGTAGCTTCCGACATTGTGCTTTCTTTATCGTCTTCTTTAGCTTCCTTCTCTTCAACATGTCCTTCCTTGGCAAACTGCTGGTCCTTTTTGGCACTTGACAAGAATGGCCTTTTTGCTTGGACTTTCTCTTTGAGCTTTGCTAGCTCATCCATCCACCCTCCTACTATTTCAGACATTTTTTCTCACCAAAGACCGAAGAAAAAAGAAATTTTCTTTTTCTCTCTTGGGAATGTGTTCTCTTGCGTTTGCTTTTCCTCTTTTTGTTCAAGGAAAAAGAGAGGGGAACTAAGTGGGTTTATATAGAAGAAAAATGAGAAAGAGCTGTGGTTTTTACGAGACCACCTAAGTATTTTATTAGTGGTGTCAAGGATGTGGGTTTTGACTAGTTGGAAAGGAAAAAATCAGTGTGTGGTCGGCCCCTAGATACGGTTAAAACTGGTAGAAAAGGATATGGGACTGGATATTCCCCAATACCAGCTATGAATATCTCCCGTGTGAAAGTTCTGCCATGTATATACTCATACCGTCTTCACTATTTAAGAAAACGAAAGAGATTCGCAGTCTCCCCTCTCTCTACAGCTTGACCTTTACACCTATCCTATACCAGGATTAAGCACCTGATTGGGTACAAGCAAGGTAGACATAAGAAGTTCTTCTATAAAGTTGTGGGCTGCTGGTGTGGTATCTTTTGTCAGTTATTGTTAGAGCCCATGTTTTCTTCGTTCCTTTTTCTTCTAGAAAAGGTTCAAAAGAACAGTCTTTAGCTGTTCACGTGGCCAGGGAGGTAAGCAACAAAATAGTTTTCCTTCTCGGAAGGTAGGAAAGCTCAATAGAATACCAGTGGCCCTGGTTTGAAGTGGGCTTGCTGTAGTATCCTATCAGGCTGCAGATTTTAGTTTTCCCTAACTCTATTGGGCTTCAATTCTGCATTTCTGCTTCAGTCCTCAGGTTTTTGATTAGCCAGGGGAAGTATCACCTTCACAAAATCTGCAGTCTGAACTGACCTGAACTGACAGAAGTGACAATGAAATGGGGGAAGTAAGGACACCCTCATACTTCCATATTTTTCTTTTAAATATCGTATCTTCTTACCCTTGATGAACATAACTTTATCAGAAGTTTGATTTCTATTCACCATGAACTCATCTTAGCAGTATTGTCTTTGACCATTTGACATTTTAATCGAGTCTGCTGTCTTCCTCCTTGTCCTCAGTCTATTGTTTTCCACTTTTTCTCCTGATTATTTTGTTATATTGATTGACTCTCAAACTTGATCACTTGAAAGTGTTATGATGGTGTTGGGATTTTCTCCATGATATTCAAAGATGAAGGAATTAGAAGATAAAATTCCATGATTTACTAAATAAAGATAAATTATGGGTTTAAGACAGTTTAATTTATAGTAAAAAAGTAGAACAATTATTAGGCTTAGCGGTGTATTTACACAAGCGAATCATTTCAAAACTTAAAAAAGAAAAAAAAAGAACACCAAGAATAAACGATCAAGCTCTGTTTCAAGGGCTAAAGCAATGGACAAGCATGGAAACAGAAGCCTCGGAGCACGTGACTCGGGTAACAAAAACTTGCATTAACCCATTTGAGCTTCTTTCTTCTTGTTGTTGAACCACCTGGCCAGACTCAACCCCACTGGCAGCGGCAGGGCTTGAACCACTGGAGAAGAGGGTTTGACCCTTTTCTCGTAGCTTGGCTAGCTCAGTCGTCCACTTATCCACAAACCCAGGCATGGCTAGCAATCTTCCAACTTAAAACGCAAAGCAGATAACAAAGGAACAAGGATGTTAATGTAAGCAATGAGAGATGGTTTCAAAGTGTTCTTCGGATGTTCACGCTTTTTTGGGAGATTGATGTTTCGAAAGTGTTAACCTGGGGTTGGATTTTTATAACAGGCAATTGATGGGTGGTTTTGTGATTGTTAGTCCACGGCGCCCACCTTCTTCAATGGAAGATGTATTCACTGTATGCACTTGGCTGTGTGCTTTAAGATAAAGATGACCAAGAAAAGAGTAAAGTATTGTTTTGCTTTAAACTACGTTTTCTGTCTCAGAGTCAACTCAACTGAGTCCAGCCCTACTGCTTTAAATTATTTCTTTTCAGTCACAGGACAGAATCGATGGACTTTCACCTTGACTGTCTGCTCTATGGTCATGAGATTTCATCATGCAATTTCACATGTGATGGCAATGAAATTTTCAAATGCAAGTCCCCAATTCTGTACTTTGCACATTAAATGCTAATATTAGCACACTTCATCAATCTCATACCATTAAAAAAATTAATTAAATCAATTTGTAATTAATTTGTTATAATTTATATTATCTAAGAAATTCACAAATTAAAAGTGATGTGAGTATCCAACACATGATTGATACGATATTCTAACACATAGCCAATGTCGATGGGCATGGCTTATATTTGGTTTTTTAGCTGTAATTTGGCTTGTTAATCTTGAAACGCCCTCCATCAATCAAAGCCAAAGCATCTTGAAACAGCAACACTATTACTTTGTTGTGTATCAGGATTCAGGAGAGCAAGGGGCCGAGACAGAGACAAGGTCCAATTGGGTCTTCCCCTGTTCACAATATGAAGTATACGACTCAAATGGGATGAAAGTTGAAACTTCAGTTTGGAGGTGTCTTTCACTGCCTAGCTTTTTCAGTTCTCAAACATGCCATGCTCTGGCTTTGCCTGTGTTAATTATGTTGGGCCAGTTTCAGAGTTTGTGAGAACTGAGAAGATATTAATGTTATCCCTGTCATTGTCAAACTAAGTCCGTTTACTTGTTCCGATCAAAAACCAAGTAGCATTTCATAAATCACATCTTTACACAAAGGGTTTTCATAAAGATCAGTAAATAGAAAGCAGATCAAAATACAATCGTGTTATACTTCTTCTTCTTCTTCTCCAAGGGCTAAAGCATTGAACAAGCATGGAAACAGAACCCTGGGAGCAAGGCACTAGAGTTGAGCTGACTCGCATGACTTTACTGACAAAAGCTCGTGCTACCTGAGTGGAGCTCTTTTCTTGTGATCCAACCACGTGGCTGGACTCAGCAGCAATGGGGCTTGAACCACTAGAGAAAAGGGTTTGACCCTTTTCTCACAGCTTTCCGAGCTCGTTACTCCATATATCCACAAGCGCAGACATGGCTACACAAAAAAGGATCTTCCTTGATAACAAAAGGTTAAAGCAAACAAAAAGATTTTTCTAAGGTTGATATTTTTGAGATGGTGATGGGTAAGAGTTGCTTGATTTTTGTTTATGAAAGGAGGTTGATGGGTGGTTTTGTGGCTGTTCGTCAGCGGCGCACACATTCTTGGGTGGAGGATGAAGTAAGTGATAAGCATTAGTCCTCTGTATTTGAATCCGTGTGCTTTGGGATAAAGACAGATTTGGTCGGTTAAGTCAACCTTTCGTTTTCACAAGAAATTTCGAAACCGCTGCATGCAGACTGTACATCACTTATTTACAGCAGCATATTCTTTGTCTGAGCCTATTTCAACGTGATATTTATTGTGGATGGTTTCACATCGTCACTTATTATTACAGGTTTATATTTTTAATTTAAAATATCTTTCAAATAAAATAAATCTTTATTTATAAACCAAAACCTCAGTTCTGTCTCTTGTTGATGTGAAATGTGTTGTCCGATTATCATATTCAATCAGATTCCATGTACACAAGAAATGAAGTTGTTACTAAGAATTAATTGAGTATATAACAACTCATTTATAAAAACGCATATAATTCAGGAATTATTTTGTTATAAAAATGAATTCCAAGTGCATTGCATTTACGATAACATTGATTTTGTAGGCTTAGGAACAAAAGTACCCATCAAAGTCCCCAATTTCTCATATGCTTCTCCAGGTTTTTCCTTCCAAGAGGGTATACACAGAAACATAAAACTGAAAATAAGGGGATGTGATTGCTGCAGAGACTCTAAATAATTTATCCGTTACTGTGATTTTTACATATAAATAGATCAACCTATTGAGGTGGTATATACAGTTAAAAACGATTCTGCTCTTGGATTTTTTATTCAGTGCCAATATGATACAGAAAAACGAGACATCATCTTCTGAACTATAAAGCAGAGATGGAAATGTCACCGTATGTGCAGCAGTGTGACTGATGATGGCCACACTCGGGGAAGTCTTGGGCGCTTGATTTGCATTCTGGCTGTCTTCAGGAATCATGAAGGTTATCCTCCATCTCGATAAACTATGGCTCCTGTCCTCCAGCTAAACATAACAGGTTATAGAATGGTAATATTGAAGGCTTTCATCGAAGTTCCCCATCTGAATTAACTCGAGCAGAGGCAGAGGAAGCCAAAATAAACTCGAGCTTGAAACCTCAACACAGATATCCACATTTGATGCTATAGCACCTGCTGGTTGAGATATATTCTGAAACAGGGCTGTAGATGCCTTTCATCTCAAGAAGTGGCGGTACGCCAGGCTTTTTTTAAAGCCAAAAGATGCATCGTAGTCGTAGCCGAGGAAATACTTCTGATGGCTCCCTCCCATTAACGGAAAACAGTTCAAGTTTGAAGCCCAGTCAGCCAACATGACAAGTAATAGGAATACCTGCCGACATACTTGATAGTTGACACCGTCTTGAAAAGATCGTTTGGTATTGATGCTAGAACACAAAGGCTTCATTCATGATTTCAAATCCATGGTGTCCAACCTTCATACATGCTGCAAAGATTATCAACACTAGTAGCTTGCTTAAGTAGATAATCCACTTGCTCGGCAATGCTAATTTCCCTGAAAGAAGTACAAAAAAGGACTGGCTGTTAATATATGATTCACTTGATACCTATTTGCACTGTCAAAGGAAAGTAGATACCTTCTCTCCGTAATGTCTTGTCCATCTAACTTCATTTCGACACGTTTTAGGACTGAGAGTGCATAAGCATTTTTACCTGCAGGCAAAAATAGTTTACCACAATGCAAGTCAAAATTGAAAACTCTTAATTTCTTTTAACAATTTTCTTAAACTAAAAGATCAAAGAGTATCCTGAAGAAAGAGAGAAAGCCAGAAAAGAGTGGGGAGGGCGTGTAAGAACGCCATAGCAAATTTAGTATTTTTCATTAGTTGGTGGAAGAATAATAGTTGGTATTTAATAAATCCCTTAAAACCGAAGCTATCGAAGAGGCACCTAGATCAATTTAATAAAGCCTATGCATACCAGTAGCATCTTTAAATATTAAAAAAGAGAGGAAAAATAACATAAAAAATAACCTATCTTACTGACTTAATATCATGCAATGTATACTTTTGCATTGTTCACTCTAATTAATTCTTAATCTACACTTCAATCCAAAATGTTTCAATATTTGAGATCTCAAGTTGGATGAAAGCTATTGAAAAGGGCCATATACAGACGGGTAAAATACGGTGTCAGGTGCAACAGGCATATTGAGGCAATCATGAGGTGCTTTGAGTTTGCAGGGTACGCTAGGTGATTGATGTAGTGCTTAAGCTGGTGTGTCCTTTTGCAGCTCATATTCTACCATCAACTCGATCTTCCGAGGATGATAAGACATGTATGATCTGTCACATGAACCTGTGTCGGATTCAAACCGACCAAGAAAAGTGGAGAACCATTCCCATACCTCTAAGCCCCAGCCCCAGACAGTTCCAAAAGTTCTTATCTATACTTACTCAAAACCATTCAGGCAATAATACGACATAGGATAGAAAACCATAGATTTATATTTGATACACCAGCATCTTTGACAAAAATAATCAACATAAATAATAAGAGTGCAGTCCCTATTCATGGTTCTAAACTATTAAAAGTTCTGTTTCTAGGGTACTCAAATTTTATAGAACATGAAAATAAAAGAAAAAAAAATACAAATAGATGGTTCAATAAATTAGGTTTTGCACTTACCCCTCGCTATACGACTGGCAGTGTGAGTGTTGGGAACAGGAACTCCATGATCCTCATCACCAACCTCAACTTTTCTTGACGTCGATACTTCATCCTTACCCCCAAATTTTACATCCAAGTTCTCCTTGTTTGAAGGTTGTGAAGATTCAAGAGGAGCACTTACAGCTTCATCATTTACTGGGGCCACAGCTTTCAGATATTCATTTGGCTCATCAGTTGCTGATTTCACAGAATAAGTGTCACTGTTGTTCATCTGCATGTTCTTGGAACTTCTCTGCCCACTTTGTGAGATTTCATCATAATCGCTTTGTGAAGATGGAACAAAATTTTGACCATCATTAGCCGTTTTGTGATTAGAAACAAGCCAAATCTTTTCCATCACCTCTGCTGGGTCATTGATGCTATCTGAAAGACTAGTACCATTTGAGGTAATGCCAGATTCCACAATGCTACTGCCAATGCTATCTGGAGGTGATATCCACTCTTTATCTTGCAAAGAAAGCCCAGTTAGACCAACAAAATCTTTGGTGCTCCCACTGCCTGATGTGGAGATGCTCTCTCCAGCTCTTTCATCAGATTCAGTGGCATCACCAGCAAGATCTGGCCTTGACAAACTAATGCCCTGTGATTTTACTTCCTGGCTTTCACCTAGTCCTTCAAGAGCCTGAAGAGGGAGAGAAAGCATTATTATTAGTCTGTGTAACACGATATGTCATCTAATCTGAATTATTAATATCGAAACTGGATTTTACTTTATGCAGGTTGCCAGCATGAAGACTGGCAGTTCGTGCAAGTCTGGTCAACAAAGAATGTAATTCCTTCACAGAAAACGTAAGTGATGGTACCAAGGGCTTAAAGGTCTGGCCAGTCTCCCGAATTCTTAAGCCATAAGACTGGTATATGGCTTGTCCATGTATTGGAGATACTTCCATCTTGGTCTCTCTCTCCCTAGCCATGGCTTCAGTCATAGCTGACACATCCTTGGATAAAACTGATTCCAGTGGAAGAAGGATGGCATTTGCCTGCCATAACGTCAAAATAAAGAAAAATATAGATGTCAAACCGCACAGAATCTAGATTAGCAGAAGTTTGATGAAGTTCTGTAATTTCATGAAAGAGAAACTGAATCAAGGCAGCTACACAGAAACACCTATCATTACAAAGAAAGTATGCAGTCAAGCAAACTACAGAGCATGCGTCAAAAGACAAGAACCTTTGAAAGATCTTCCATAAGGGAATGGTGTACAGCTGCAGCCTCCTTTCCCAGACTGTCAACATCATGCAGATCTTCAGTTATTGCCAAAACCTAAAGAGAAGCTTAATAAAATCAGCCTCAAGGAAGCACCAAAGAGAACATAAAAGGAGTTTCTTTAGTTAGATTTAAGAAGAATATATAACGGCATAAGTTGCAAATGAGAGCTAAAGGGAGAAAAGAAGAAAACAACTGATGAAAGACTAAGAGTTCTTATTGGTGATGGTACTAGCTAAGAAACTAAAAGACACTTAAATCTAAAGCAACACCACAGATAACAAAAGTTCTTACAATGATTAGCAACTTTTTCTTCTTCTTTCATAGTTATTTGATTTCTTGAGGCAACAAAGTCAGTGCAGAATTTTTCTCAAGTACAGACAGAAACTAATTGCTTGCATAAATAACCTTGAAATATATTTCTACTTCTTTGCCTACCATGCCTTAATCAAAGCCATGATAAGTATTCTAACGCACTACAATTTTTGTAGGCAAAGCTGTACAAAACATAATATTGTAGACAGCCAAATGCAAACTGATATCACGTTTTGGAATGCACAAAAAAAAAACCCTCACGTCATAATATGTGATTCCAACCACAGTGAAACTACAAAAACATCTTTGCCAACAAAGACAGATAACCACATAAATGAACAATACAATCAATGTTTGTATTTTTCATTCAGTAGGCACAGTGAAACATTTTAAACCGAAGGCATTGGTACCAAACTGATGAAGCTTTATGACCCACCTAGGAAGCATCTTTTGATTGGTATAGACCCAAAAAAAAGTACAAATAATACCTCTTCCAGCATTGAACCAGATTCAGAAGTTAAAGCAGTATGGCCCCTAGATACACGAGCAAATGCAGATAAAGCAACACTGGCTTCATATGCACAATCTCTCATTGCAAGAACAGTGCTTTGTAAATCACCTGCAAAAGATGAATGTTTCAGATGAAGACCATAAATGTATATGTAGAAGTCAAATAGATAGACATGATTATGTTTTTGAGTTTCACACATGCAAATGCATGCAGATAATTAGATGTCTAGGTTGATGAAGAAAGGAGATGCGACCTGAGGCAGATTTTGCTTTAAGAGAGGCAATGCATAGTTCATTAGTTGCAGAATATAAGCCATTGGAAGCAACTTCCATGTTGCTTTGAGCAAGCTTCCATTCTTGTTCAGTACCTATGACAGGCCAAAAGACCATATCACCACCCAGTTGGAAGTATCATTCGCATTAAAATCATTCAAGCATCCACCAAGATGGGAAACTTACGTGTAAAAGAATGATAGGTAACCTCCAATTTAGTTAGCGCACTAAAGTAAGCTTGTTGCCATGTTCTGCTATCACCACCAGTGCTTAATGCATACGCCTCTCTTGGGATCTGAAAAATACCATCCCGAGATGCCTCAAACTCTAATATTGACATGCAAATTTTGACAATGTTTGATGCCTTTTCTCTTGCTTCCTGTAGCAGATGCCTGCGCCTCATCAGGTGGTCATGGAATTCTGGAGGAATTCCAGAAGCCTTGGCTGAAGAATTTCCCGTTCCACCAGAATTCGGTCCACCACAAGCCCATCCCATTGCTCTCTCAAGCTGCCCTTCTGCTGCAAGAGAAGTGTGCTCGCATGACTGTAGGCCCTCTATTGACCTAGCTACTTTTGAAACAACAGCTTGCATAGTTTCTAGCAACTTAGGTCTACTGAGGTTTAGAACAATGGGATACAGCTCATCATCACTAGAAAAAAATTTCTGGAACAGGATCCTACTACTGTGTGAATGGTTCAAGCCAACATCATGCATCCATTCCATTTGCACAATCTCTAGTATAGTCTTGCGCAGAGCTTCTTTGAGCTCATTCACTTGCCTTTTCATAAGAGAAGCAGCTGACCTTGCTGCTCTAGCAGTTTCATGTGTGTTGCAGTACTCCTCAAGCATGAGCTGGACCCTTTTAACAGCCATAGCATCCTTCCTTATGTGATCAGTACTTGCTTCCTTAGCTCCCTCTGTCAATAGCTTCAAATGTTCATTTTCTTTATCTAACCAAGATAGTAAAGCGGGAGCAACTCGTATTTTCAGGTAGCGACCCAGATACTCTTGAAGTTGAATTTCAAGCTTTCTCTTAACTACATTAAAAAGCTGTTCAAATCCTAAATTTTGATCCACTGATGAAGCCACATCATGTATACATGAATCAAGGATGGAATCCAGAACACCTATTTTCCAAATAAAGAAGGAATGGCTGCTCAATAAAGTTCCAAAATTCCAAACAGACTCAGATACTGAGTGCCCAGAGCTCAAAAGGTCCACCAAATTAGGAATTTCATCTGCACGAGGAGCAACAGAGCTACTCAATGAAGATAATGCCTTATCAACTGATTCTAAGTCAGAGAAAGGTTTTACTAAGATGGCTAGTAGTACTTTGCTTCTTGAGTGATGTGACTCTCTAAAGTCTTCACTGTTAATTAGAGATTGAAAATGGTTTTCACAAGAAACCAAGGAATTTTCAATCTCAGCTTCTCTCCTTATGAGAGAAGAAGTTCGCATGTCTCTCTGATTCCAAGTTTGATGGAGTTGGTCTAGCTGCACCCTGCAAGCTTCTTCTTGAGAGGCCAGTTCCTCTGCTTCTTCCCAAGATAGATGATCCCTACCCTTCATAGCAGCTTCTTCAAGAGCCAACTGTTGTTCAGTAATGCGGCCAACCTTAACAAAGTAATTTTGTTCTAGTTCAACCAAGGATGCCCTCTCTAATTCAACCTCCACTAGCTGCTCCAGTGCAGTGTCAACAGATCCCCTTATTTGTGAGATTAATCCAAATGCATCCATAACTTCCGTATTGGATGAAACAGCAGATCTCATTACATCTGGTAAAACAACTTCAGTCATTTCCCCAACCAAATTTTTACAGCAAAGTAAAATGGTTTTGAATATGGAAGCCCAGTTTCCTTCAGAATAATGCTTTGGATAATAGAAATCTCTATCTACACCCAGCATGTCTCCACCAATTTGCTGCCATAGTTCATTTACAAACCCAGCAACAAGAATGCATTTCTCTACTTGCTCTTCAAACTCAGAGAAGACAGTTCCAAGATCAGATTGTAGCCGACTGTTTTCATTTTGAGCCCTACCAGTATGACTGTACGTGTCAAGTACCCTACGCTTAACATCATCATACAATGACCGCACTGCTGTACTTAGAACAGATAACACCTTGTCCTTCTTCTCTTCGAACTCCCCTCGTGTTCTTGAAGCTCTTGTGCCATCATACTTTGATTCTCCAGATTGCAGAGAAGAATTAGCATCTTCCTTCCTTACAAGACCAGCAGATTGCATGTATCTCATTAAAGCAGACATGAGACGATCCTTAGCTTTTGATTCAGTCTCTGTGCCAATTGAGTTAACTAGCTCAGCACACTCTTGCTCAACTTTCTCAATCTCTACCGCATACTTCTCCACTTTAAAGCAAAGGTCATCATGACTGCTCTTCATAAAATCAAGACTATCCCCATGTACTTTTGCAATCAGTTCAGCAGCCTGTCTTCTCGCTAGGGAGAGGATGTCAGAAGAAACAGCATTTGCAGATAGTTGCAGTACTTGTCCCCAGCCATGCACTGCACTGGTTGAAAGGTAATTTAAAGGTAGTACTCTTTGTAAAGCCAATGCGTAGGCTTGAAGAGCCATTACTGCAGAAGAGAGTCCACGATCCAACTCAGATATAAGCTGAGAAACTTCCCTATCTATATCATAGCATTGGGCTTGTGTGGGCTCAGGTACTATAGTCAACGGGACCCCAGCCACAGGAACGGCAGATATAAGAGATAGAGCATCTGCCATACCACTAAGATTTATGCAGGCATTCATTTCAGGAATTAAATTGCCTCGTAAAGCATCAAGGATCCTTCCATGCTGCTCAATCCAAGATGTAGCTTGTTGAGCTTTCTCAGCAACCAAATTCTTCGCTTGATTAAACTCTCGAGCTTGAATTTCAAATGATGCACGAATTTTCTCCGAGCTACAAGTTGCTTCAGCGACAATTGACTTTGCAGATGTCTCAAGCAGAATAAGATTAGATCTCTCTTGGTCAGCTCGATAAAAAAGAGCAGAGACGAGCTCATATTGATTCAGAACATCTCCAAACCTCTGAAACATAGAAATTCAACAATCAAACCTTCTGGTTCAAAACGGATAAAATGAGATGCATGCAGGTGATGAATCCTTACCTCAAGAGCAGATTCAACAGCTGGCAATGTAACCAACAAAAGATCATGATGTTCCTGAAATCATTGAGAGACGTCAAAACCTGTTAAATCTCTGAATAATTTCCACAATAAAGGCTCCTAGATAGGTTCATGCAAGTAAACAATAGAATTACAAGACTGATTAAAATCCTAACTCAATGTTAGGATATTAAACATTCAAAACAATGCCTAAAATATGAAATACTGCAGTAAAGTCAATCGTGAAGGCATTACACAGGCTAAGTAACCAAGCAAGTAGTAGCAAATACAATCAATCATGCTTCCAAATCTAGCCAGCATCAAAGAAAAAAAAAATTAAAGACACATGCAAAGCTACAGTATTTGAAGGAAAAGTACCTGCAAGGGAACACGAATTTCTTGCACTCGTGATGCAAATAAACTCAAGCTAACAGCCAACTCCATGCCTTTTCTTTCTTCACCACCAATTGCAGCATCATCATGAAAATCTCCACGTGTCCATTCTATAAGTGGATCCCATACAAACACTTCCAGTAACATCAAGAGTATATCCTTATTCTTCCTTAGAGCACCAACAACTGCCTCACAATTCGCTCTAAAGGTACCTTCTATGCCTGTCAACCCTAGTGCAGCCTCGATTGTCTGGGTTAGACGGAATGGAACAATCTCTGGGACTTTAAGTCTTTGCCCTTTATCAAAACAAACATTGTAATCAATATGCACCACATCCCCACTACTGAAATCCATAAGGATGTTATCCAAATGTCTATCACCAAGGCCCAAAATGTGACCCACCATACTCATGACTGCAACACTTCCAGAATACCTACAAGAGAAGAATAAAACATATGTCCAAACGTTTCAAAATTTACCAAAACAGTTTATTAAGGTCAAAAAAGAAAATAGAAAATAGAAGCATGCATCATCACCAAGAAAATTATATACAATTTCCAGTCCCAACTTTCACTAATTATATTAGAACCCGTTATACAGTCCAAAAATTGGGAAAAATGACGAAAGAACAAAAAGCAATACCCAGATGACATATTCGATATGAACTTGAGATGACAACTACTGATTCAATGAGAATGGCAATTAAATCACCAAACGAATAGCACACCAGCCAACTTGAACTTACCAACTATAATCATACCATTCACATAAAGCATGTTGCACGAGCACTTCTCTTAACTTCAGAATGACTAATTTGACAATAAATAATATCAAATTCTTTCATCAACACAATGTTCTCAGATATCTACACTTGTTTTAGTTACTTAACATACATAATGCGATACACCAATTTTGGCCTTCTTAATCCATATAACATCAAGAAGAGATTTTCTATATTGTTCTCTTTGCTAGAAGACTGCCAGACATACTTGTCAAGCTAACATTGCAAAAACATTAAAATTGATAGTGAAATGCATCTCAGTCCTTTTGTGGAATTACAGCACCAGAAAGAACACTTATATTTAGACCAATAAGGCTTTCAGGCCAGAAATTAAACATCCATTGTAGGTCGGTGTAATGGCTCAATTATGAGTATCTTATCAGCTAGTGTTTTATATTTATAATTCTTGATTTAGAGGTCAATTTATAATAACATAAATTTCATGATTAATGTTCACATAACTATTCATGCAGTGACACTCTGTTCTTCTGTAAATAAGGCTAGCAATAAAAAGGTTCTCAGTCGATGCTTTTACGGTTTAAAGGGACAGCCTACAAAAGCAGTATTTAGTTTCTTCTTGATATTTTTAGTTTTTTTTATAAGCTTTTTTAGTATATTTTGAAGAGCAGCTGATTGAAGCTTTCTTGATAGCAAGACTTGTAGTGACAGAAAATGAAGAATACCTCTTCAATTTTGAGCTGAAGGCTTTGAACCCTTCACTAGCACACCAAAGTTCTTGATGCAGAAGCTGTTTAGGGACCTCCTTCATAAGATCCAAAAGAACTTTGCGCTTGACTTCATGAGGCCAGTCTCTTCGGGAAATTACTCTCCTGATGCCTTTCTCCTTGAGTGCGGGAATGATTTTTCCATAGAACATATCACTTGGCCGAGGAACAGGAGGAACAGAATTTTTTGCATTTCCAGATCCCAAAGCAGAAAGTTGTGCAAGCGGGACACGGTTTTGCCAAGACTTAAAGATGCTGTATATGCTTGTTACATTATCTACCCATTGGATTAGACCAGCCCGACCACTAATTGGAGTCACAGAATAGTAGCGAATGCCAAGCAAATTATGATTAGTAGTAGAAGATGAATGCAGAAAACTATTTATTGCTTGCAGCAGCTGCATGATTCTAGCATCAAGACGCAAATCTTCACGCCCTTTCAACAGATATGTGTATGTTTTACCATCTGAACCCAGAATAACAAGCTTTTTTGGTTTCGTTTTAGTTGACAAGATCGTAACCTGTTCTGAGAAAGATGCAATTGTGACAATTCCTTGTAGAGTTGAAGTGAGACCTCCGTCAGATTCAGACGCCGTGACTTGCTTCTCAAGACCAGGCATTGGAACATCAGAGGATGATAACATAGCCAGCTGTGGTGCAACTTCCCCCAAAGAAACTGAAGATTTCCTCTGATAAGATGCTAGGGATGCAGCAATATTGTCAAATGGCCGCCAGACATCTCCCAGTGCAGCAGCAGATGCCGGAGGAGTCTTAAAGCTTAATATGGCCGATTTTAACTGCTCTTTATACTCCTGATGGAACCATAATTCATGAGGTGTCTCGGGCTTTGTAGAGGTTGAAGCTAGACGGCGTTCCAGGGCTACAACGATGGGAGCCATCATGGCTGAGTATTTAGCAGCATTTATCTTGTTCTTCTCACTCTGGTTAAGAGTAGCATTCTCTGCAATTCGTGCAGCTTCTTCTTTCAGAACATTTATGCGCCTCATTACATCTGAAAATAAACTCAGTCAACATGGAGAGAAAAAGAACAAGTAAAATAAAAGACAAAAATATATGAGCAAAGACCAATAATCGTATATGCTAGCAATAACTATTCTGAGAATGGGCTATGTACAACTGACATATTGGATACCAAATTGCATCTAGCTAGATACACCTCATTTGTCACCTCTACAATTTCAGGATATGCATGTTAAAGACCACCATTCATGTTAAATGCATATGATGAGACAAAAAGCCTGACTTCAATTCTTAAACATGATAAAAGTGAGGAATGCCTATACAAAAATAAAAAATAAAAAAAGAAAATGGATTGTGAGCAGAAGAAACCCTGTTGAAGCCAAGCTTACCCATGTGGAGATCTTGAAGAGTGCTAAGCCATAGTTCCTCCCAAAGAACAGTAACATTTCCAAGCTCATTAATCACAAGTTGAACATCCTGGACTAATCTTGGATAAAGCTCTGTCTGCAAGCAGCAAATTTATGCCTTAAATTTTATATATGACACTTTAATCTAGCAACTCATGGTTCAACAAAACTAAATCAAGGGTAATCAAGCATCAAGATGATCAAAAGTCTTTAGGCATATCAGCAAACAATTAAAAAGAGAACGTGCTTGATTTTAAACTAATACTTATGCATTTGATCAGCACAGAAGCATGAAGACACTAAAAAGGAAGCGATCTTATTCACTTCTTCAAATCTGAATCATTTCATGTTTCGATTCATTTACATGTGACTTTCAATAGCTAATCCCATTAACACTCACTCACAACCTTTATCAGAAGTTACCATACTGTTGAGTGCAAACCTGTCATAGACATGGCCCCATAAATTCAAATCTCAAGAAAGAAGTATGTTTAATATAAAAGTAATTAAAAAAATCTATAAAACAATAACAGGAGCACACAACTTTATGACAAGGCAATCTTAAATAGACATGACAGTCTAAAAGTCAGGGTACTCTTCTGAAGGCAATCTTAATTAGATTATGATTTTAGCCTGCTAAATATATAAATAACTAGGTTAATGAGCTTCTAAGCCACCATGAGAAACAAAAACACTTTGGAGCGACATCTTCATTTACATAAATGTGACTGCATGCAGGATATCACCAGTGAATTGTTAATAATGCCATAAATAGGTAGCTATGATGCACAATAGAAAGGATGAACAAGCAAAAATTTGAAACAGCATCACATATGGCAAGCAGCAACAATACCATAACTCTGTCTAACATAGATGTCTACCCTATCACCCAAAATGACAGGTAAAATAAAATAGTTCTGTATCGGAGATCTTGCAGCACAGTAACACAACAATTTTTGGAATCATGAAATGCACTAAATGAAGAAATTTTAAATTACCAAACAATCCAGAATGTGCTGCAGCTCCTCAGAGGGCTTCTCTTCATAAGCATTTATATCAACTAGTGTTGGGTAAACTATAGACCAAGGAGAAAGCTTGGCTAACATCACTAATAAGCCCTCTATTTGCTTCCTGACAACTTCCTCAGGATGTGAACTCAAGCGAGCAAATAATTGAGGTGTAACATCCTAAAAAGATAATTACAATGTTAATAAGTCATTTCAATGAAAAGGAAACGGGAAGGGGCAAACAAGAAACAGCTTCTCACCTGCCATGACGACAAAGGAACTGTTGAAAGATCTGGTTCAAGTGTGTCTTTTAACTCCAATCCATAGTTGAGAAGAATGTGCAGGACATACAATGTAGCTCTCAGGGTATAGCTGCCAGCTGTTTGTTTCAAGGATTCACAAACATCACCAGACAACTGACCATCACAAAGCTTGGTAGATGAATGTAAAAGATACTGTATGAAACCATGAGCTGCATACCCAAATAGAGAGACTCTTCTCTTCCTCAACGACCACCAAACATCAATCAACTTATCAATTACATATGTTATATCTGTTTCTTCTACACCAATACTTGCAAATTGTAAAGAACTTCGCAACTGAGCACTTAAAGTTGCAGAAAGCCTTTCACCACCAGAATTTTCTGCACCAGGTGCTCCAGCAGCAGCTTCCATCATATCCACCACTTGCTGCACCAAAGCCTTTGAAGGATTGTCGGTTCTCAACATTTCTGCAGGATCAGAACAAAAATTCCACTGTTCCGCTCTATCATCTACATGCTCCATATCATCCCTCTTCTGAAAAAGTGGCATTATAACAGATTCCACTCCTTGGATCTCATCTTCAGTCATCTTGAATCTTTCAGGTGCAAGTTCTGAAACCAGCATGGGAGAAAAAGAGCATGAATGAAGGCACTTTTCACGCTGGTTAACAACAGAGCTCTTGGCCTGATTGAAACACCAAGAAGCATAAGAAATCCATGACTTGGCCATTGTAGGGCAAAGTTGAGTGGACAACTTTGTAGCTGTACCCACTATTTCCTCAATAATAACATCTAAGCTTAGTTTAGAGCTTAAGTCCATATCACTGAAACATTTTCCACCTGTGCCAATGGAAGAAGCATTAGCCACATTGAGGTCTGCTAGCATCCTGAGAACAATATTTTCGAAACTCATACTGGAATAATCCCGTCTCAACCAATTTGAAAGTTTCAAGCAAGCCTTTGCCTTCAACATACCATCATCAATATCATTAACAATCAAAGCAGAAGAACACAAACAAGGACGAAGAAATGACCAAATATTCGCAAAAGCATCCTCAATCTTGTTCTCAGCATACAGTAGCAATATTTCCTCATATTGCAAATTCAAAATTAGCAAATTAGGGTATCTCTCCTGAGAGCAACTCAACACATGATCTCTCATATAGCTGTTCAGACAGTTTGCCAACATCAGATTTCCTTGTTTACGAGCCAAACTTGACAAATTCATAGAAAGCTTTAGGGTAACTGGAGAAGTAGGGAAAATGGTTCGATAAACCCGGAGAATTTTCAACCAAGGGTTACAATCTTGATGAATTCCTTTAATTAAAGGCCGCAAGGGCTGCAAATATGAACTTAAAACTGACTGACTCAGTTTGGATTTGCCTTGGCTTGCCATGTGCTCCTGGCATTTCCCTTGGTTTCCCGTGAGTTCATAACCTTCTTCAAATGCAAAGATGCAATGCAACTGTGTGGCACATTTAGCAGCCTCAGCTAATCCATCAAGTGGCAGAACAGACAACATTTCCTCCAGCATTGACTTGGCCTTCTGTAATTCATGCGGCACCTTGTCCACATTTCCCTCAATCTGAAGAAGCAATGCCTGCAAAAGCATCTGCTCACTCCTCTGCAAGGCTAGTTTGGGATCAAGTGTGAGTTCACTGCTAGATTTTGGTGTCAAATCCAAGTATGCCCATGCACCCTGAAGATCACCCTCATCAAAACGTGCCAATGCATGAATTGCATTCATTTCATTGCCTGCCGTAGTTAAAGCACCAGAATAACTCTTTCCAGCATGCTTAGCGCGAAGTGTTTGCAACTCTAAAAGCCATGATTCCAGGGACTTCCAATCAGATACAGCTGTATAACTCTCAATAATACGTGCAATGGCAAACTGCACACCATCAGAACCCATGGTACTGAGTGACTCCTCAGTCTGTAACAAGTGAGCAAAATGAGAAGCAGCTTTTTCATATTGTCCTTCTGCCTGATATACAAGCCCAGTTATCCACTGGAAAGGTCCCAATATGCCATTGTGATTCATAGACTGATCTTCATCTAAAAGTAGTGAAGAAAAGGTCACTGAAACCCATTTTTGTAGACCAATTAGAGCCTCTGATTGATGATTCCTGCATAGAGCCAATGACATGTGTCGTACAACCCTCAAGATATCTCCAATATATTTCTCCTTCATGTTATGTAGGTTTTCAGTTACCTGAGCCTGGGACTTCTCTTTAAATGCTGACATCACTAGACTTTTAAGCTCCTGGAGCCGCAAAGTGCAGTATTGAATTGTAGCATCATGGCATTGCAATCCCAATCCAGCATTCATCATGGGCTCACATATACGAGAAAACCATTCCTCACATACTTTCTTATTTGCTCGAAAAAACAGTGAACTCTGTCGACTAGCAGATGGTAAAACAGCAGATCCTTCATATGCGTTATATACATTTTTCTTCAAGGCCACAACGAAATCCAACAATAACCTCATTGGCAACAAGTGCGCACCAGAAGAACCTATTATACTTAAGCTTCCATCATTTTGCTCACTATCAAGCTGTAGCACATGTGCAACATCCAAAAGCATCCGCTCCAATGCTGCAAAAGTTTGAGTAGGCCCACCAAGGTTAGTCCGTAGGCGAGTAGAAATACAATATCTGGCTGCCTCATGTATGGCCCACCAAGCACCAGCCAGGTTATTAACAGAGCAAAGTTTTTCTAGAGCATCTTCTTCCACTTTTATATCCATCCGTAGATCATTCACACCTAGAATTCCAGTTTCCTCAAGCTGTCCCAAAATGCCATCCTTTGAGCTCCTACATGTATGAATAAGCCGTTGGATCCAAGAAGAAAGAGGCACTTTCCATCTTTGTGAAATGTAACTCAAAATGGAAACAAGTTGCTGTGAGTGAAGTTGCTGAGGCAGCTGCTTTAAGGAAAATACTTGCTTCCAGTACAAGTTTGAATTATTGCCTAACATAAGAGCTCGGGGCCTAGAATTGCTAAATGCTTCAATATGATGAATGCCATATGCATATATTGTAGTCAACAAGACGTGAGACAGTAGCCTAACATATGCATTTCTAATGTCATTATCTGGATCACCAAGTTTTTCTAGGACCACTTCACTAACAGAATTAAAGTACAAGGGGTGCATCAATCTTGCTTGCAAAAGCAGCTCCAAAGCTAATGTGACATGTAACCTGACTTTTGGTTCCCTGTCAAATGCAGCCTCCAAAATAGAGAAAATCGTATTTCCAAAATGAGAAACATATCCAAAGTCTTCATAGAAGTTAGTGTCCATCTTTGAATTCTCACAGATGGAAATGAGATTTTCACAGAATCTTTGGACCCATTCCAGAGCTACTACTTTAACTGAGACAGGAGAAGAAACATGAAGAGCTTTAACAAGAAGCATGCCACACTCCCTCAGATACTCAGCAATCATGGCTGAATGAACATCTCGGAAACTATTATCATTAAGGACTTTTTCAGCAGCAGCATCCCCAGGAGGTATATGGCCACTTTGATTTCTTATGGAACACTTGCTCAAGAATTTAATCATACTTAACCTATCTAATGTCTTGATAACATTGACTTGCAATTCCACACAAAACTGAATAGGTAAATCAAAAGGGTTCAGCTTCTCAATAATAAAATAAATCAAATTTTCTGACCTCTGAAGATACAAGGTGGCATTCTTTGGTTGGACAATCAAACTGTTATGTCCACACAAGGAAACAGAAGTTAACAGAACTTTCAAATCAAATTTAATCAATGCAAACAACTCACATTTTGAGTAAGATCTAGTATCTCCGACACTATTAACCCCCTCTCCATGACCTAAAATATTTCCGAGCATACCCTTCAAGAGCTGCAGCTCTTCAGTTAACAAGGTCATTGCCTGTTGAACTATTTCATCATTCCCGTGTTGAAGCAAGAAGACATAAGTAGCTGCAGAACTTCCAGTGACTAAATGATTTGGGTGCAATCGCAGTTGAGATATTGCTGCATCAAAATGAAGAATTTTCTGCACAGATGAGGGGAGGAGGCCAAGCTTTTGCAAAGATAATAATTGAAGATTAGTTTTTAAGACCCCATGAACTTGAAAGGAGGTGATCTTCCCAGCTCCAACAAGTCGACTAGTACTGTCCAAGTCCAAGCTGTGGAATAATATGTCCACAGCAAGTGAATAAAATGTGGAAAACCTTTCTCGTAATATTTCTGCCAATAGAGTCAAGCACTTCCATGAATCTTCAATCCATTTTGACCATCCAAACTTCTTTCCAACAACAGATAAACATCCCAATAACCGGGGAAGCATTTTGCTTAAAGGTTCACTTATTTGTTCAAGCAGATTCATCTCCAGCAATCCAGATGCAGTAGATTGCAGAACTGTACAAAAGCAAGACAGCAATGCAAGCAACCTTCGAAACTGTTGTGGGGTTCCATGTGTCGCATCCTGAAGCAATACCTCCATATCTCCCAAGAACTTGGACAACAATCCCAGAGAGAACTGCAAATTACCAACCCAATGTTTCTGAAATTGCAAGAAACTATCCATAATAACACGTCTGTCAGATTCTGCAAGGTCAGGTACCAACGCCCACCCAAGAAGCAGATCAACAATGTCAAGAAAATGCGGTTGGAAGGACAACGAAAACTTCAATGAGATCAAAGTCAAAACACCTAGAAGCCGATGCAATAAAGTCAAGGAGGTTCTCTCATCCTCTAGAAGTTCTTGACATGCTTTGAGGATTGATAAAGCATACCTTTCAATCCCACCCACATCACCTACACTAAGAAACTCGCGTAGAGCTTCCAATGCCAGTTCTGTGGTCCCATCCCTGTTACTAATATTACTAAGCAGCGGCAAAGCCCAACCGATGAACCGATCCACCAAACTACCGAGCATAACATGATTTTGCCTTCCACTTGATCCTATAGGAATTGAACACACAACTGCACAAAGAGCACCATATGCAATAGCAGCAGCCTGCCTCACTGAGTATGACCTGACCACAAATTTAACCATGAATTTCACCAGTCCATACATAAATCTAAATTCCAACAATCAGTTTTTTCTTTCTCTTGGAAGCGTGATGTCAGTGATCTAGAGTTAAAAATCATCATTGCTTTAAATTGCAAATTTAACATTTTAATGGCTAAGCATACACAAGATTGTTCTCCTTGAAGTCCATCACTGCTAATCCATCAACCATATAGAAAAAGGAAATAAACATTAATAATATTGAAAATAAAAAGTTAAAGAGAGAGAGAGAGTTATACTTGTCGGAAAGAAGTTGAGAGAAGCCTTGGGCGAGGAAAGAAGCGGAGTGAGCGACGAGGATAGAGTTAGGAGGGTAACGAATCGCGCGGTGGAGAGAATTAATAGCCGCGAGACGAGCTGAGTCGCTTTCATCGGAGCTGGTTGAAACTGCGGGAGTTGTCGTGGTGGTGGGAGTCGATGTTGAGGGAGTGGAGGAGGAGGAGGAGGAGGAAGTGGCGGTAGCGGTGGCGGTGGTGTCTTTGGGGAGAGCAACGGTGAGGAGAGCCGCTAGCTGTTGCTGTTGGTGGTGGAGTCCTTGCATCATTGTTGTATAGATATCTATGGCTTCGCATTTCTTGACCTTTTTCCTTCTTGCGCTTGCTTGCTCCGCCGGGTTGCGTTTGAATTAGTTCGGTTATGGCCTTTCCCCTTTCCCCATAGAGGTAGCCGCATAATTTTTTTTTACGGCTAGGTCCGGTTACAATTGTAAATACATAAGGTACGATTTTTTTTTAAAATTTTAATACAATATATCAATAAAAAGAAGTTAGCTCAATTGAATTAAATACGATTAATTTTTCGTTACTATCAAGAAATTATTTGGATATGAATTAAAATTTTAAAAAATGTTTGGGTATAATTAAAGCAAGAATTTAATTGAAGAAATGATCATAGAATAAATTGTTTTTAATTATTTAAGCCAAATCACTTTTGTTAAAAATTAACAAGTTTTTAAGTTGGCAATAATTAACTTAACCAATAAGATTAAGTTTAATTAATTCGATTAAGTTACTTAAATCGATTCAATTTGATTAAAAAATTTTAAGTTGATTAACGAAATTAAATCAATTGATCGATTATTTTGATTCATGTAGAAAAGTAGATCGATTAAGTTAAAATATATGAATAAATCAGTTTAATAGTACTTTTTGATCGATTTAACTGATTATTTGGACCTTTCTCTCTTATATGGATTGAAGTTTTTGAGTTATAAGAGAGTTATATAATTTTCCTTTAATAATGCAATAGGAGGAAATTGAATCATAAATTACAAAATTTTTCATTAGATTAAGGATTTCTTTGGAGATAAATTAAACTTTAAAAAGATGTTTGGATATGATTAAAGTAAGGATTTAATTGAAGAGATGGTCATAGTCGCTTGTGTTAAAAATTAACATCTTTTTAAGAAGTAAAAGACAATAATAACTAACTTAATCAACAAAATTAGATTAAATTAATTCAATTAAAAAGTCGATTAAGTTAGTTAAATTAATTTGATTTGATTAATGAAATTAAGTTAATTAGTCAATTATTGGTTCATGTAAGAAAATCGATCAATTCAATTAAAATATATGACAAATTCAATTAAATCAATTAATAGTAATTTTAGACCCATTTTATGACTTAATGAATTACTCACTTCTATTTAGATTGGAGATTTTTTTTAATTTATAGATGGTTACAGAATTTTCTTTTTACATGACAATATTTAGGACTAGGGAAATTGAATTATAAATCACAATAAATTATTGAATATATAAAACATGAATTGTTTTGTACATAATTTTCTATCCTTATTTCATGACCCATGAATAATAGAAAAAAAAAAGTATAGGCAAATCATATTGTTATATCATTGGGAACAATTGGGTTAAAAGTTTTTTCAACCAGGATTTGAAAGCAAAGAAAAATGGCTTAAAATTTAATTTGAATTATATCATCAAGTGAAAAAACTGCCTGAAAAGCTCAATAGAAAAATTCTAGGCACACAAAAAGAAATACTTCGAACATGAAGAGTTGAATTGAAATTTTCTCAAAATTTAACGTGTTTGAACAATTTTACAAAAGCGGGATTAGATAGAAAAAGTGTATAATTGAAATAATAATTAATGTTTTTTTTGTTTTTTTATTTAATTTTTATTTTGAATGTTTTAAAATGATTTTTAAAAAATTTTAAAATGCTTAATATTCTTATTTTTTAATATTATCAATTTATTTTTGATGAGTTTTATATTAAAAAGTATTATATATGTATTATATATTTTTAAAATTTTAATATAAAAGATATTAAAATCAAAATTTAGTCTTAATTTTCATAAAATTATAAAAACATGAAACTCAAAAGGACCAAATTGAAATTTCCCCAAAGACCATGACCCGCCGTATAATAAACCGACATAAAAGATGGCTATAAAAGCAAACCCTAAACCCACCTCATCAAGCATTCTCCGTCTTCCCAAACTGGTAGCTTCAACTCGACGCGACTCGACGCAGCTTGGCACCAAGAAGAAGGAAAAACTTTTAGAAGGCAACTTTGATCATCCAGAGACGATGTCGTACGACGACGTGGAGATAGAGGACATGCAGTGGAGCGACGAGTTGCAGGCATACACTTATCCATGTCCGTGCGGCGATCTTTTCCAAATCACAAAAGAGGAGCTAAAACTTGGCGAGGAAATCGCCCGTTGCCCAAGCTGTTCTCTCTACATCACCGTCATCTACAACGCCGAGGATTTCGCCGATGACGGATCAAAGAACAACCTCGAGCCTCAAAAACGTCAAGCCGTCGCCGTTGCTTAAGATCCTTCAGGTTATTATTATTATTATTTAAATTTCGATTTCGTCAGTTTTTCTTGCGATTTGCCGGTAGAATTTTGTTGGCTGTAATCAGTTATCTCATAATTCGTTAACCTTAGGTTACTTTATTTTGACGCGAGGGTCATGCCTTTAGTCGAGTTGATCAGTAATAGGCTTTTTCATCCCTTTCTTCATATTGTTTTACTGTTTGTTTGTGATGTTTTCTTTACAAGTTCAAGCTCACTGAATCATAATTCGTCCTGATTTTGGTCATTGCAGATGGCAAAGAGCGTAACTATACGATTGTTAAGGATGTTTCGTTGGAGATTAATTCCTTACGTGATGTGCACTGCCCTGCTAGCATTGATGAGGGAAATTTAGTAATTAACACCAAGAGACTTATTATTTTTTGTTTATATTATTGATTTTACAGTCATTGTAATGGGTTTTTCTTCTTTATTGGGATTGCATTTTTTAGATTGAAGGGTGTAAACTATGAATGAACACATGAATTTGATCTCTTCAATACCATACAGGATGCTTGTTTTTCCATTTGATGGTTTGGGAATTTGGGGTTATGACAAGCTTTGTCACAGCATTCTTTGAATGCATCATCCTTCAAAGAAAGGTTAAGGATGGTGAATGCAGTTAATTTGGTGGTTGGTTGGTTGCTCTTCCAGGTCAAAATTGAAATATGAAATATATTTGCATTTGATATATTCAAGTAGTTATATATCTAAAAAATTGAAATAATTGAAATTGAATTATGTCGGTTATAGGTATTTTAAATAATTTCTTTTAATAAAATTACTAAGTTTTGTATTTTAATCAAGATGAACTCAGCTTATGAAAATATTAAACATATTTACATTTGATATGTTTCAAAAATATATTATTATAATGATTTATTTTTTCAATTATTTTGATTAAAATTTTGAATATTGAAAATTGATTAAATAAATTCAAAAAAATCAATGTTTTAATCTGTTTAAAATGAATATAATTTAAATGATCAAATTGAAGTAATCGAATTTAATTGGTCCAATCAATTATTTTATTAATATGTTCTTACCTCTTTCGGTTTTTACCATTCCAATTATTATGGGACAGCAAAGCCCGAACAATCCCTGCCGGGCATAATAGGCTGCAGCAGGGGCCACGTTACGGCCCAAGTTAAAACAACGTAGAATGAAAAACTAAACCCTTCTAAAGCCCTATTCTCCTCTGCTCTCCATCGTCATCTTCCTCCTAAAGCCGTCGTCCTCTTGTCGTTCTCGTTGGCCTTTACGGCTAAAGCTCTCTCTTCTTCCAGCGACTCTATACGATTAGAGATCAATTGAAAATACTTTTTCCCTCCTTCAATAACATGAAAGCTCACAAAGTCCTCAGCTCTCAGATCTTGAAACGGAAGGAGCTAAAAACAGTTGTTCCCCATTCCTCTGCACTTTTCGCTTCAACCTCACAACTAGTCAACTCCGACCAATCCCAAACTGCATCATCACAAATATCCCCTGAGCTCTTGATTGAAACGGTCCGCTCTTCTCAGTGGCATTTGATCAAACACCAATCACCAGAACTCAACCCATCTGTTATATCAACCGTCCTCTTTAATCTCTGCAAAACCCCGGAATTAGCCCTCCAGTTCACTTCGCACATCGAATTCCATCGGCTCGATGTCAAAACCCGTTGCCTTGCCATTGCAGTTGCCTCACGTCTCCCATCCCCCAAACCCACTTTACAACTATTAAAGCAAACCATTTCTAGTGACATTGCTAGTGTTACAATCATTTTCAATGAGTTGGCACTCGCTCGTGACAGGTTAGGCACTTCAACTACTATTCTTTTTGATTTGTTAATAAGAGCTTGTTGTGAAATGAAGAGGGTTGACGAAGGATTAGAGTGTTTTTATATGATGAAAGACAAGAGTTTAATTCCAAAGATCGAGACTTGTAATGATATGTTAAGTACGTTTTTGAAGTTGAATGGAACTGAGAGTGCTTGGGTTTTGTACGCTGAGATGTTTAAAATGAGGATTACGTCCAGCATTTACACGTTTAATATAATGATAAATGTGTTGTGCAAGGAAGGGAAGCTGAAGAAAGCAAAAGAATTTATTAATTTCATGGAGAATTTAGGGGTTAAACCGAATGTTGTTACTTATAATACAATAGTTCATGCTTATTGTTCGAGAGGAAGAGTTGAAGGAGCTCGTTTGGTTTTGAATGCAATGAGAAGTAAAGGTATTGAGCTGGATTCTTACACGTATAGTTCTCTTATTAGTTGTATGTGTAAGGAGAAAAGACTTGAGGAAGCATCTGAGATGCTTGAGAAGATGAAAGAAATGGGATTGGTTCCAAGTGCTGTCACTTATAATACCTTAATTGATGGTTATTGCAATTATGGGGGTTTGGAAAAGGCATTCAGTTATCGAGATGAAATGGTTGAGCGGGGTATATTACCAACTGTCTCAACTTACAATTTGTTAGTTCATGCACTGTTTATGGAATGTAAAATGGGTGAGGCAGATGATTTGGTTAAAGAAATGAGAGAAAAGGGGTTGGTTCCTGATGAGATTACATATAACATCTTAACTAATGGATACTCCAGGTGTGGAAATGTGAAGAAAGCATTCAGTTTTCATGATGAGATGTTAGCAAAGGGGATTCAACCTACACAGGTAACTTATACGTCACTTATTTATGTTTTAGGTAGACGGAGTAGAATGAAGGAAGCAGATGACCTGTTTGAAAAGATAATGAGTAAGGGTGTCATAGTAGATGTTGTAATGTTCAATGCATTGATTGATGGTCACTGTGCCAATGGCAATATGGAGCGTGCATTTTCATTATTGAAGAAAATGGATAAATTGAATGTTTCTCCTGATGACGTGACTTACAATACTTTGATGCAAGGGCATTGTAGGAAGGGAAGAGTCGAAGAAGCTCGTGAGCTTCTTGATGAGATGAAAAGAAGGGGAATTAAACCTGATCACATTAGTTACAACACTCTAATTAGTGGATATAGCAGGAAAGGTGAGGTGAAGGATGCATTGAGAGTTCGTGATGAGATGTTGAGTATAGGTTTTAATCCCACCCTTCTCACTTATAATGCCCTTATTCAAGGGTTTTGCAAAAACCAGGAAGGAGATCTTGCTGAAGATCTTCTTAAGGAGATGGTTAGTAAAGGCATTACCCCTGATGACAGCACTTACTTGTCTTTGATTGAGGGGATGGGGACAATTGATCACTCTGTGGAAAGTTGTAACCCTTGCTGAGGACAAAGAAAGGTGTGTGGGCATGTTTATAACTTGTTTGCATGGTTGTTTCTCCAAAACCATGCAATTGAATGATGCACTGTGTTTAACAAGCCCGTAGGGTCATGCAGAATGAAGATGAAGAGATGTCAGGTCAGTTGTCTAATTTCTTCACATGGCTTAGTTATTAAATTTGTGGCCATTCATTGTGCTCTATTTGATTTTAGCCAAAGTCGTAGTGGGTTTTATAGGTGCAAGATATTCAAATTCTTAGAATGATGGCAAGGATGCTCAGACATGTGAATTTTATGTGCATTCAAATCAATGCTTGTTACATGTCCAAACACTTGTTTACTTCAGTCAAGTGCTTGATCAATAATTCCTTGTAGGAATTTAGGTTTTCATGCAATGAGATAAGACTTCCACTCTGTTGATTTATTAAGATCCTAGTGCATGATCCAAGGAAATTAATCAATGTGATGGCATAATCAGTCAACAAGTGCTTGGCCTAAGTCAAACACATGTTACTTCAGACAAGTCCATGATCAATAATTTCTTGTGGGAATAAAGGTTCTTATTTAATGATCAATAATATATCTCCATGAATCTAGGACCTTTTGCTTGCATTGTATTATTTGGTCTACATACTTGAGCTGATAACATTTGAGATTATGCAGGATTATACACAAAAGATCCTTTTTTGGCTCTCTGTACCTCTATTTCTCTTAACTCTAGGAGGTCTTCCTCCACTAGTAGGTTTTTTAGATTATTAATTAATATCCTAGCTTAAACACAAAGTATCCAATGAGATAGATGCATCGTTTAACCAATTGTTCTGTATTTCATTCTGCCACTGATGGTAAAATTACATAGCTGCGACAACCTTATTGGAAGGAATTTTCACCAATTGAACTGCTTGATTTTGGAAAATTTTCATGCTAATTCTAATGCTGGCAAATTTGCTTCTTATATACTGACATTTATATCTGCTTAGACCCATTTTCGGCTTACTAACACTTTGGCATTTTATTGTTGGAATATAAATAACCAATGCAGATCTCTACGTTGCATGGGCCCTTCTGTGACATGGGCAATGCAATGGGCTTTGTTGATGCCAATGCTTTCCGAGCTGGAGATGAAACCAGAAGTGAAGCCTGATTCCCTGCTTAGTCACCAGCAACCATGCTTTATTCTCCGGAGTTGCTTGCCTTCTTCGGTTAATAAAGAGCAAGCATCAACAAGTCATTTGCAGATAATTTTTCAACTACAGTGCAAGCGGATGTTGGTTTCATTCAGCATTGTTACTCTTTTCCTTGAATTTTTTTTTTCACATTATTGATTTATTTACCAGTTAACAGCAACCACCTCTGGCCAAAAATAGAAAGGAGGTAAATGTGTATACCAAGGTTGTATCATTCGAAATTTGGAAAACTTGAGTTGATATTTGACTGATGATAGCTATTTGAAGTGATTGTAAATTAGATTGTTATGCAAAATTTCAGATTTTGAAGGATACTTTCAATTGATACATATAATATCTACAGGTCATTTTATAGTTGGATTTGCATGGTCTTCCATTGATCCATTTGCCTTAGTGTTAGTTGGGGATTTTGGCAATAACTCCCCGGCATCAGATCCAAAGGAAGTGGGGGAATTGAAATATAAAACCTCCAGCTCTCCACCCTGGTTGGGTACTTAAGCAAGCGGTGAAGAGCCTGGATCACCTCCTAAACATCGTTTGCCTCATATTTTGCTGCAAGTCCATTGCTTGAAAGGGGTCTTTCTTTTTCTCATCCCCAAATTGGTAATTTGCTTTCTTTTGGCATTAATCCCCTTGAATCATGCTCTGCTGCATAATTAGACAATTCATATTCAAATTAACTCGACATGAGACCCTGCGTAAACACTTTCGTTATCCAGGGGAGAGGATTGCTAGTAACTTTATAGTGGACCTGGACCGCTAGAAACATACATCTCCTGAATGTCACTCGAATATCCTGATAGGATACCTGGAATATTATCAATCTTTATTGTCGTTACTTAACTTCTTAGTAGATGAAGTCCCGTGGAGAATTGTATTTCTTGGCTGAGTGGAAACATCTTTGTTCTTCTTTTGGCAGGGTTTTTATAATGGAGACATCTCATTCTCCACTAGACGGTAATTGGAAGAAACATCTGACCCTCATAATCCTGAAGGGCCATGGCTTTTGTACCTTGCACGAATTTAGGCTTTCTTTATTTGGTCTTGGTGGTTTTACAGGCAGCCAACTATAACAACCAGCAACAAAGATACATTTTGGCTCGTCTGATCCTGTTACTTTGACGTATTCCAAAAGTTGATCTAGATCATGATCTTTCCAGTATCCAACTCTGATCTCCTGCTCATGTCAATTTTGGTGGTCTTGAAGTGAAGCAGTGAATGTCTTCTTCAAACTTTTACTTTAGTATACAATTGATCTTTTCCGAACGGATGTATCATCTTTCTCTTCAACTTTTGAAAGGTTTCAAATATAAATGGCTGTCTTTTCTTGGCATTTTTGTTTGTGGAAACGTACGCATCATGCACCAATGACCAAACATTTGAATATGATACCCACCATGATGAACTTTTAGCACGATGCATATACAAGTATTTCAGGCACTTAAGTTTTGGTTGGGATCAAGTGCAGATACAAGACCCTCCATACCTGAGAAACAGAAGCTTCCATGGGCACATTTGTTGGACACTTGGTGCCAGGCCTGGCACTTACCTTTCTTGGCCTATGGCACACCATCAACAATATCAGAGACTATTGTCTCAACGGCTCAACGAAATTTACAATAAGGTTTTGGTACCCCTTCAATGGCCCTCTGTCTAGATTCAAACATTTGGAGCTCATTTTTATCCTGTCTTTTTCCCTGTTAGCAATTTTCATGCAAATTTTAGACTACCCTTCTCTTCGATTTGCTTTTGAACTCGATAGCTTCGAGCATGCAAGCATGTTTCTCCACCTTGCCATATTTGCAGGTTTCACTCTTTCTGCTGAATTAACTCAGTCCTCTGAGATTCTATCTGCTGTTCCGGGAATTCTTGTAGCTTCTGTTTTTGGTCAGGAGCTTTTCTTGCTCCATTTCCACTCAGCTGATCATGTTGGACTTGAAGGTCATTACCACTGGCTCTTGCAGCTTATAGTGTCTGTGTCTCTCCTGGCAGCTTTAGCAGCAATGCTTCTACCAACTAGTTTTTCCACGGTTCTTGTTCTTTCGATTTCTGTTGTATTTCAGGGTTGTTGGTTCATGAACATGGGATTTATGCTGTGGACACCTGAGTTTGTTCCACGAGGATGTATTATGCAGTTGGCTGAAAGCAGCAGTGACAGCATGCACGGAGCTGTGACTTGCGAGTCACATGGAGCAGATATGAGGGCCAGAGCATTGGCAAACTTGCAATTCAGTTGGATACTCTCTGGAATTCTGATATCCACAGGATTAACCTGCCTGAAATTCTCCAAAAAATGCTCCCTAGGGGCACAATCAACTGAATATGAGCAACTTCACGTTAAAGGCAGTCATGTCCCTGTAACTATTGATAGCTTCAAGCGAGCTGATCCTTAGGCGTTAGTAAATTTTACATGTAACCCTCCATCAATAACAAAGAAATTGGATCAGAAGGCTGATCCTGAAAACTTCTACACTAGTGAGTAAATATTAAGATGCTCTTGTTCTGGATTTGTCATTGCCAACTCCTATGTGACGTTACTAGTCACTGTCTTTGCCAGCCAGTTGCTGGCATCTACACCGTTTTGTATTCTCTGCTTCATGCAGTTTATTAATGAAAATCTACTTTTGGCTAAGCAAAATAAAAAAATGCTCTTGTTCTAAATAGTTGCAGCATGTCAACTGTTCTTGAAACCAAAAAAAATATATCATCTTGAGTAAGTCAAAACAGAGTAATTAGTCTTTGTGAATTTTTTGCTGGGACAAAATTCCAGAATATACGAGGATCGCAAGCTTCCTATGTCAGTCACGGTCATGTTTACCTGAGGAAGCTCTCACTTTCATGGCTGCCACACATACCAGCTTTAAGTATGATAGTGAACCAACTAAAATTTTCCCTGGAAAAGAATGAACTGATAATAAAGAACGTAAATACAACATTTTACTTCTATTTTTTATGTTTGTGAATAACTACAAGTAATTGATTTGACAGTCCTTTTAGGCAGACATCTGCATTCAACATACTTGAATTGCGAACCAAGTAATTTGGCATTGGAAGGCAACCTTTTTCTTTGATTTTTCCATTGCTTAATATTGAATCATCCATAGAGCATGGAAGGTAACCGTGGGGTAAGCGTAACCTCTAATGGTGCAGCTTTAGGAACAGTTAATCCAGGGGTTTCACTCATGTCAATCGCTGTGTCCGAGACTGTGCCCCATTCAAATCCATGAAGCAGCCGAGCCAATGGCAAGTGCATGACTTGCAGCGCAAAAGAGATACCCGGACAAATCCTTCTACCAGAACCAAATGGTATAAACTCACAATTTTGACCCCTCGCATCTAAGTTAGCATGGTCACTGAGGAACCTCTCAGGCAGGAATCCGGAAGGCTTTTGCCAAATGCTGGGGTCACGCTGCAACTTCCATAGGTTAACCAAAAGGCGAGTACCTGCCGGAATGTGGAAACCAGCTATTGTGCAGTCCTCCATGGCTTCTCTTGGTACTGATAGAGGCAACGCTGGGTGTAACCGCAATGTTTCCATGACAATGGCTTGCAAGTACACCAAGTTGTTTATGTCTGACTCTTCCACTTTCCTATGCTTTCCAACAGGGATGTCAAGTTCATCTTGGGCCTTTGTTAGCACATGGCGGTTGTTCAATAGCAAGGAGAGTGCCCATGTAAGTGTCATCACATTGGTATCATTGCCACCCAAGAGAAGACTCTGCAATCAGCATTCCCTATTCAAATGTTATTTGTTTTCTGATTGATGCTACAACAATTTTGAGAAAAGGAAAATGAAATTGATGGTAAGGGTAATGTTAATTAATTTACTCTTGTTATAGATATTTAGTTATGTTACATCCCTTATAGCAAGAGGGATTAACTGATGACTGATGATTAGAACTACCACGAGGTCTGGATTTCTGCAATTTACTCTTGTTACAGATATTTAGCTATGTTAAATCCTTTTAATTGCTGGATTCAACTGTTTTTAACATGACTAGCCATTGAAACTTATATTTTGATGGTAAGTGAAAAGACTGGGAGAGTCATCATCAGTCATATAGTTTAGCCAAAGTAATACAAACTGATGTTATGCAAATGATGCCTATTATTCTGATAGCAGCTGGATTAACAATAACATACCAGGCAAGTAGCCTTGATGGTAGTATCTGCCTCTTGAGTTGGAATGTTGCCATCATCCATGACCGACAACATGACATCAATGAAATCTTGTTCCCCTTTGATGCTTTCCTGGAGCCTCCTTCTGCGGTGCTCATTTACCAAGCTTCCAAGCACAAGATCCAACTCCTTTGCTGTCCTCTTTACATTGCTTATGTGCCCCATCACGACATCCAGCCAACCAAGAAAATGAACCGCGTCTGAAACGAAGAATAACCCTGCCAGGTAAAAGAAATCACCCATGGCCTTTTGGCATCGCCTGGATTCATCATCACAGCTTCCTTCAATACCAGAATATCTTTTTCCAGCAACCGTCCTCGCTATGATGTTCATTGCCAAGTCCCCAATCCTTTCCTTCATTTCCACCACAGCAAGGCCTCCACTTTTCACAGATTGCCCTTATAATTCCTTTACAAAACAATTGATTTCTGTGTCCCGGACATGCTTGAGTAACTCGAGCCGGTGACTAGAGAGGAGCTCAACCGTTGCCAGTTTCCTTATGTTGCGCCAATACGGTCCATAAGGAGCGAAGCCTAACATGCCATGGTCATACCCCATGAGCTTTATGGCTAAAGATTTTGGACGTGTAGGGAAGACCCTATCATTGGTTGTGAAACATTCTTTTGCAACTTCACTGTTACTAACAACAAGAGCTTGATGAATTCCAAGACGGACCAAGAAGGCAGGTCCATACTGGTCAGCCATATCTCCAAATGTTCTATGTAGCAGCTGATTTTTTCCAAGGAGATGAAGGTGACCGAGGAAGGGTAATGCTCCTGCTGGCTCTGGTGGTCTCCTCTGCTGTTTCTTCTTGCCTTTAACATGGATGGTAACTACAAATATGCTGATGATTATGATGAAAAGAATTGCAAAAGAGCTTTGCTCTTGCAATTGTTTGTAGGATTCCATTGTGAGCCTTCACTGAAATGAACCAATGTGCAAGATTCACAGTGATACTGAAACTCTCGTGGATCTGTTGCAAATTATTGCTAAAAAAGGGTTTTCCCTGACTAAAAAAATCTCGAATAAAAACAAAATTGGAGGCGTTAATTTAAGCTCGGCAAGTTCTATCCATATACTAGTATTTAATTTAATAAAACGTGGTCCAATAGCTACTATACCTTTCACTTACAATTGAACTTTCCTAGCAATATTCGGGACTACTCTTTTCTGTCCTTTTTGCCTCTTCCTTTTCGTTACATAATCACCCTGTGGCATCCATCCCCTATGTCCTCTACCCTTTCAAGAATGAAATCTTTATGAACATTTTATGCTATGAGCTCCTAATTGTTTCCACACGGAAGGATTATGCAGTTGGATGAAGGTAGCGGTGACAGCATTTCAAGGATCAGTCAGTTTGAGTCAGATGTGGCAGATCTGAAGGCTAGAAAGCAATGCTTAACTTGCAATACCTTTCCTTTCAGCTGGAAAATGAGGAACAGTCTAACTGAATTAGCTGATACGATGAATCGATAGTAATTAGCTGATCGGCTGACAGCATAAGCATTTAGCATAAATAATATACCTAATAATTGAACATGTGGCATCCATGAAGCTTTTACTTTTTTCTAGCCTTAACTAATACCCATAGAGTTGGAATACTTTATTTAATTTAGTCTTTGTTAATTTTAATTGATTTAGGATTTTATTTTCTTTATTCTATTTAAATTAGGATTTTTTTATTTAGATTTTAATACTTTTAAGAATTATTATTTAATTAGATTAATCATGTTATATTTTGTTTAAATATTTTATTAACTATTCCAATTGTATTAAGATGTGGGCCAACAACAGGACCTTTAAACTTAGTTATAACATAATTCAAGTTGAAAGTTAATAAATAATATTTTTTTAAACAAAAATACTTATTTCTCTAAACTCTTAAGAGGATTTTAACATCTTTAGCCTAATCAATCAAAATAGGATTTTGATTATTTTTTATTTTTAAGTTTTTAAACTTATCAAAATTGATGATTCATTTTAATGAAATTTTCAATCTCGTCATGATTGATATCTTTCACAACGTCCCAACGATCAAAAAATAACTTTGCAATAAGACATAACCTCAGGGCTTTCACTAACGCAGCAGAGCCAATGCTAAGTGCAGGACTTGAAGCTGCAAAAGAGATACCTGGACACATCCTTATTGTACCAGAAGCAAATGGTATACACTCGAAATCTTGACCCCGGCCCTTGCAGCAAAATTTGTATTGTTCATTGAGGAACCCGTGAGGCTGGAACTCTAAAAGGCTTTTGCCAAATTCTGTGGTCATGCTGCAGCTTCCACAGGTTATCGACTGTTGGAATATTTTGCGAAGAGAAATAAAGAATTAAAAGAATTTATCGATTAAATTCGATTGAATAGTCAATTAAGTGCAAAATTATGGAGGGTAGTCGACTAGCATGATGTACGGACAAATTGAAAGACTTCAAAAATAAGTTAATAAATAGTCAATTAACGGTAAATATATAGCTAGCCCGAAAGTTGTACAAAAGTATAGCAAAAGAAGTTAATAAATAGTCAATTAAAGTAACAATTTAACTGATTTTAACAAGGAAGTGCCTGCACAGAAACTTCCTTGTATGATTATTTTTGGCTCCATACATCTTTTCTTTTTGTTGAAGCAAGGGAATTAATTAAAGTCCTAACAACCCTATCTTATTCCAAACTCAATTAATTAAAGCTCTCATGAAGAATGGATTGAATTCTTTACTAACTCAAAATCGACTAAACATCTGCTTTATATACAATTTTCTATGCACAATCACGTCAACAATTGACTAAAGTTAAGATTATTGATATGGTTGTTGAATATATGCATCAAAGGCCCATAATTAGTGGGTAGGTGTGCGTTAACTTTAATTCAAATTCTTAACTGTAAATCAACAAACGAAGAAAACCCATTTTTTTTTAGCATTTCTTACTAGAAACCAAGTAGAAGTATAGTTACCAAGGAAACAGGATATTGGCAAGCATTTTCATGGAATATGACTTAAAGATTATTGCCTAGTAAGTTCCCAATGCGACATGAACGCCTACCTTTACACTAGGCAGGCAGAAACCAATGCAAACGTTCGTAAGGGATCAGAGCGTACCTAAAGAGATAACCCATAATCATAAAGTCGTGAGGACAATGTCCTGAATCACCAGGCATCCCTTCTCAAAGAAAGCAAGGAAAGCACAACTCCGGAAATACTAGAACAGATAAGGGGTCTCAGCTCAAAGCAACCTAAACTAGCTAGACAACTAAACAGAAGATCAACACCCAAATACAGATATAATCGGAAGCAAACATAATTTATTAGTTTCCATAACCCAAAGTAAGGGTATTTTGCACTAATATGCCATCCTTATTGATCAAATGTATGGAAGAAAATGGGGTGAACATGCCGCATCTCGGGAAGCAATGATTTCTCTCTCCAGCGTTGATCAACACGCATAGAGATTGGAAGATAACCTTGGGGTAACTGTGACCTCTAATGGTGTAGCTTTAGCGAGAGTTAGTGCAGGGCTTTCAGTCATGTCGACTGGTTTATCTGAGACCGTCCCCAATTCGAATCCATGAATCAGCCGAGCCAACGTTAAGTGCAGGATTTGGAGCGCAAAAGTGACACCTGGACACATCCTTCTCCCAGTACCGAATGGAGTAAACTCAAAATCCTGACCCCTCACATCAAACTTGGCATGTTCGTTAAGGAACCGCTCGGGCACAAATTCTGAAGGCTTTTCCCAAACACTGGGGTCTCGCATCATCTTCCACAGGTTGACCAGAAGGCGAGTGCCTGCTGGCACATGGAAACCCGCTACGGTACAGTCCTCCATGGCTTCTCGTGGTGCTGAGAGAGGCGCGGCTGGGTATAATCTCAATGCTTCCTTAACAATGGCATGCAAGTATGGGAGGTTTTTCATGTCTGACTCCTCCACTTGCCGATCCCTTCCTACCTGGGTTTCAAGTTCGTCCTGAGCCTTCTTTAGCGCATGGCGGTTGTTCAATAGCGAGGATAGTGCCCATGTAAGTGTAAGCACAGTGGTGTCGTTTCCACCTAAGAGAAGACTCTGCAATCAAATTTGCATGATCATCAGCATAGTTTTGTTTCATTGTGAAGGCCAGGAAGGAAAATTTGCTAAGTCTGCATCTGCAGCTAGACTTCTTCGAGCCCAAATTCTCCTTTGGCATTTCGGTTCTGAATCCAAATAGCTAATTAATGAAAATTTTATCAGAATTTGAGCATCAACATGTACCTGACAAGTAGCCTTGATAGTAATATCTGCCTCTTTAGCTGAAGTCTTGCCATCATCCAAGATAGACAGCATGACATCGATGAAGTCTTTGTCGCCTTTGGTATCCCCTGCGAGCCTCCTTTCGCGATGTTCGTTCACCCAGCTTCCAAGCACATAATCCAACTCCTTTGCTGTCCTTTTGAATTTGCTTATGGTTCCTGTCAGAACATCAATCCAGCCAAGAGCAGGAGCTGCATCTGAAACCGTGAATAACCCCGCCAGGTAAAAGAATTCGTTCAAGGCCTTCTGGCATCGCTTGGATTCCTCGTCATTTCTTCCATCAGGGCCACCATATCTTTTTCCAGTCATCATCTTCACTATGACATTCATTGCCAAGTCCGAAAACTTCTCCCTCATTTGCACCACAGCAACGCCCCCACTTTTCACAGATTCCTCGTATAACTCTTTAAGAAGATAGTTGATTTCTGCTTCCCGGACATGCTTGAGTAACTCGAGTCGACGATTAGAGAGGAGCTCAACCGTAGCAATTTTCCTTGTGTGGCGCCAGTAGGGTCCATAAGGAGCTGAACCCATCAAGGCATGGTCATAGCCCATAAGCTTCGCGGCTAAGGTTCTTGGGCGTGTGGGAAAGACCTTGTCGTTGGTAGTGAAGCATTCTTTTATAACTTCCCAGCCACTCACAACTAGTGTTCGATGGATTCCGAGGCGGATCAAGTAAGCAGGTCCATACTCGTCAGCCAAGGCCCCAAGTTTTCTATGTATCAGCTGGTCCTTTCCAAAAAAATGAAGGTGACCAAGCAGCGGCCTAGCTCCGGCCGGCTCCGGTGGTCGTTTATGTTGTTTCTTGTTGCCTTTGACTCTGACTATAGCCCCAAAGATGAAGATAATTGTAGCGAAAAGAAGTCCAAAAATGATCTGTTCTTGCAACTGTATGGAGAATTCCATGGTGATTAATTGAGATGGAACCAATTGCAAGGTTGAAACTGCAAATATCCTTTTGGAATTTATAGCAAAATGTATAGCTTGATTGAAACTGAACGAGGAAAATATCGGGAACAAGGTCGCATCACATGTCAGACTTTATCTATAATAAATTTTTACTAATAACATCTACAGGGATTTAAAATAATAAGCATTCCTGCTTTTCGATATATGATTTAATAAAAAAAATAATACTTTAATTAGATTAATTATAATGATTCACTGCATTAGAGTTTTCTTCATATTATTGTAAACAACAGAAGAGATTTAGCCTTAATCACCCATTATAAGACTTAGGGTCTTTTATAAACCTCTACACTTTTAAACTTGCATGTAATATTGGAGTCTAGTATAAAAAATTAATATTATCTCTTTGTCAAGATTAAATTATTTTAATTTAATTTTGATAAAATATAAAATAAATAAATATAAATCCATGCTTTGAATTTTATAAAAAGTTCTAACCTCACCTACTATTCAAATGTGGAATAAAAGGACAACGATGCCAAATTTCTCAGCTGTAGTCCCACGTTTTTTTAGATGTTCTGTTGGTTTCTTTTCTCCCCCACGAAACGTCTATGACGTAAGTTAACCTTCATTGCTGACTCCTGTGGTCTTCAGTTGCTTGTCATGTTAGAATGGACTTGGCAAATAGTTTCTTCTTGCAATTACCCGGAACATGAACCCCTCCCTTGGCTTCTATCCTTGAAGTTGCAGCATGAATCAAATTTGATGGCCTGAGAGTTCTTTCTTTCTTTCTTTCTACCAACTTGGGGTTGTGGCTGAAGAAGGTATAGAACCAATATTGGTTCGAATTTTCCATATTTTGGCTGTTTTTTTGTCCCTCGAAAATGGCTGCCATGGCTGCCGGAGTACAAATGATGGATTAATATTAATATATATGATGAAACCAATTCTAAATTGACTAAAATCCGATAACCACCGAGGCTACATTAACGTTGAGTGCAAATGGTTCTTAATTCTCTAATCATATGTACTATATTTATCTTTGTTTATTGTTCATTGAACAGTCTGCCAAATTTCTTTTCGGACATTATTGAAATCTGTAGTAAGAAATTAAGCTTTAGGTGTTCACATTGGGATTGCAAAGACCTCAATATTGTCCTGTGTGAAACCCTGACTAAAATTAATTTCGGCTATAAACGGCAATGTGCATGCATGAAAGCTTGGAAAGAAAAGTGTTACAAGGTTTCCTTTATGAGTTTCTTTTGTCAACGATATTGATTATATAAGATAGCCATGGACCTAGACTTAAAATGGATTTGATTGGTTCATTCAGATCATCATGAGTTGATGCATTTGGATGTGTTCCAACATCATCCGGATCCTGATTGGTCGAGAGGAACCGACGCCAAGATATTTTCTTTAGTGGCCAAGAAACAAGGAAGAGCTTTTATTGATAGGCACAGTGAACCCAATGCTTGAACAAAAAAAGGGAAAAATGGGGTGGTCAAAACTACCAGGAAGCCATCTCTGTTGAAAATGAGAACCAACGATGGTTGGGGTTTCTGTTGACTCACACTTGAGAGCACAGCACATCCCTTTTTTGACTGCTTCACAAGCCAATCGGCAGCCAATTTTGCCAGCCATGTTCCATCGTTTACCAACTGCAGCTTTGACTAGCAGTTTGCTCTCTAAGCTTAATTGAGAAATCTCTCAAAAAGTGGGAGCAATCTTCCAATGCTTTAGTTTATCCTGATAGGAGGTATTCGTCGAGCCGCAATCTTGGCATCAGTTTCAAAGACAAACATTTTCAAACTTTCCTCTTTAAAGCTGATTCTCCACCTTCTTTTCAAAGCTCTATTTTCAGCAACCAATACATCATCTGCTTTTAATTTCTTTTCCATGAGTTTACCTCGGCAGTTCCCAGCTATCACACCTCGACTTTGAACCAAAAGCACCATCAAAAGTTTTTACTATGCAGCTTGATTCGGACAGCACCACTTGTTCTCTGCCCCTTTATTCTTCGTGTTTGGCTCAGCCAATATAGTATTTTTCAGTAATAATCTGCTTAAAGCAGCAATGAGGTACCGGCAGGGTGCGATCACCCAGTTCTACCAGCATACAAGTCAAAATGAGACAGCTGTTAAAAACATCCAATAATACAGGCTAAGCTTTACAAAGAGTTTAACATAGATAATTGACAGAAAAGGCTGCCACCATGCTGAAAGCATAGCCTAGCTGTCAACTGCACGCTTCGCCTCTTTATTCTTACATGAGCAATTTTCAAAGACAGGATTTCTCCTCTTCAAACTTTAGCTAACTCATCTACTGTGGCTCTTATCCTAGCAATTGAACTATGAATATTTACTCAGGCTTCCTGTCAAAAAAACCTTTGCACCAGCTTTTCCAAATTAAACCAACAAGCGTAAGCTACTTGAATCTTTGTCCTTATCTGCAAATTTTACTGAGCCAAATATTTCTAGCAGCCAACCATAAAAAGTTCTCACTTTTTCTTTGTCAAAATTGAGCCTAAAACAGCCTCCACCATACTCCTCTCCAGTCAGACGGATTATAGGCGCCACCATTTCACTGGCTTTATTATAGGATACTGAGAATGGCCTAGCTAGTACCCTTTTCCTCTAGAAATTGTTACTAGTAAGCTAATGAGTGTGTATACATGATTCTCCACAAGAAATTCTTTATTTTGTTGGGAACTTTCAATCCCCAAATCTCTTTCCAGACCTTGCTGTCAATGGAGGGAGATGAAGAGGACTCTGACTCCGCATTTATTCTGCTATGGCAGTATACTTAATTATTATAGATTGTGGGGAGGACCAATGTAAGATTCAAAGTGTTTTTTTCTTGTAGTGGAAAAGATTGTTTGATTGAACAGATTTTAAACTAAGGAACTAGAAATTATCTAAATAAGACAGTTCAAGATTGCATTACTAATTATGACCGGGGTGGCAATTCCCTTTTTTCGTTAGAGTTGGTGGACTGGTGGCAATTTCCAGTTATATAGTAACAATATAAAAGAATTCTGCAAGTTTGTTTTGTCCACTTCTTGAAGAGTCATTTTGTTCTTCTTTTTTTCTTTTTAGTTGTTGAAATCAGGAAAAAAATACTTAGGCAACTACTTGTCTCCAACATAATTAGAATTGACAAGGATTAAACAGAAATTGTCTTTGTTAATTTATCTGATATATTTTCCAAAAATAGCAACCCAAGATACTAATTTGGTTTGGGGAATTGAAAACAAATTAAGTTCCACATCAATGGAGGAATGAAAGAAAATTAAAAGAACAAGTTTGCTAAAGAAAAGCAGACATACATGAAAGAAGCAAACTAAAACTTTCTAAAATTCTCAATCAGCCTCTTCCAAAGATGCTTCAATTCGGAGAAGAACAAACCCCACAGCAACCCCTACGAGAACAAGGCCATTCATGATTGCTGCAATCCTGAAAATCTCATCAACTGCGTTGCAGGTTGTAGAGAGGGCACCACCACCTTTCTCCTTCGATGGAGCTCTGAGTGAGCTCACAACCTTTGCAAAAGATTGCTCGGTGCAAACCGGCAGGCCTAGTGAGACCACATTGTTGTGAGCCTTTAGCCCACCGAAAGCATTCAGCCCTGATATGTAATTCACATTAACGCTCGTTCTCCTCCTGGGACTGGTAACAGTGGCAGCAGCAAGTGTGACAGGGGAGAGTGTAGCTGAGGTTGTCGCCATTGCTATACAAAGAAAGAGAAGGCTTACAACTTATGGAAAACAAAAGTTGCCGAGCAATAAAAAATGGGGTTTAATTTGTATGTGGGGAGAGATGATGGATAAGGTGCTGTGTGGATATATGGTTGGGAAGAGAGATTAGGTTAGCTTATAGCCTGGGGAGAGAACAAAGATTGTGCACCTTTAAATTCTGACCAAAAGAAATTTGAGATGCTCGGGGATGCCAGTGAAGCTTGGCCACTGACTCAAACCAATCTACAGCATTGGAATTGATATACTTTCACTATCATTAAATCAATGCATATATGGATAGTGTAATTTTTTATCGATTTTTAGAAATTTTTATGTTGAAGATTTATACATTTTATCATTAAGTCAAATTCGAAAATGTTAAATATGGTCATTTTTAACTCATCTTCTTTCAAAGTTTACATATTTTCTTTTATTTTCTGTCATAAACTCAATAACACGTATATTATAAGATATTTGTTTATTGGATATGTATGTATGTCTCATTTTATTTTTCTTTCTTTAATATTGTTTATCAAGCAAACATAATTTTGATCATTATTTTTTAAATATCCTATAAAATTAAAATTTCAAAAGGAATATACTTTGCATAGTTTGAAATTCAAAATTTGTAAATTTTATTTTTACAAATTTTATAACTTTATAATTTTATTAAATTAATGATTAAAATTGAATTTATTTGATAAAAAAATAAATAAATCACAAATATAATGAGAAGGAAATAATATTTAATGAGACATTTTGACTGATTTACCGGTTTTACGTAACATTTAAAATGATATATCGGCCCAACCCATAGCTTCGAAAATTAAAAAATCGGGCCACCAAGCAATTGGGCCTTCCACTTTCTGACCTACAAAAGCCCGCAAATATAAACTGGGACTGTTCTTCATGGCCCTTCCGATGTTCTATATCAGCCTTTTGGCAAGAGAGCTTAGAGACAAAACTCTGAAAGGTTGGTCCGTTTGATCCACGACCATGAGAACTGAATAGTTAAACTAGAAGCATCTTGGACTTCATTGCTGTAAAAAAGCGTTAAACCTTTACAAGAACGTATATCAGGTTGAATTCAAGGACATGTATCCCGGTGTTACACCTTAAATACAAACTATATTTGAACAACTGGACGGACCTGGCAATGTCTTGTCGCTGTGTTTCTTTTGGTAGTGCTTCAAGGTTGGCTTCTGGGATTTAGTATGTTTCCCACGGATAATGTGAACTCTCATGAACTTGGGTTTTTGTCCATTTTCATTGTCAAGCAGGAATTCACAGATACATACATCACGCTCCCGATTGACTCTGTTTCGATTGCAGACACTTCTCCATCCCATTATGCATGTTCGACGATCCTTCCATTTGCGAACCTTTCCAATCTTTTTCCGATCATATGGGTCAAGAAAGGTAATTTCCTGCTCGTCCTCCAGAATCAGATCATAATCTCTTATTACAGTACTTGGAACATACTGAGATCCACGCAAAGAATATAGCCAGAAGTTAGTAGAAAACATTCCGGACAAGCTAACTAGCATTCTTGGCATTGAAGCATGTGAAAACATAATATTAGAAAACAGTTAATCAAAGTAATGGAGAAATATCTAACAGCCAAGCAGCATTAATCAACATTAATCAACGCAGGGACAATTGTCGTAAAAGGTAACTATGTAAATAGTTTCTACTTTCTTAGTAGCAACGTTACCAATCCCATATTCCCAATGTTAATAGCTTAAAATAAATGTACATCAAATGCAAGGAACATATTCTAATTTTATCATGTAAATAGATATGCGGACTATGGAAGGTCCAGTGCTGTATTTCCTAAAAGGACTTGCTCAACCTAAAATGTGGTCAAAGATAACAAGGAACAGGAATAAAAGACCATACCAATTCATTCCACCTCCCCAGTCTTCTCCTTGCCACAAAATAAGGATTCAATTCGTGGACATATCTTTCTGGATTAAGCTCCTCATATTCAACCTCCATAGAGGTAGTTTCTTCATCATTCACAGCAGCTAAACCCTCATGCCGCCCTAAACCGAATAAAATTGAGGGTTATGTTTTGGCACATAACAAACATGCATCATTTTATGAGCCATGAGTGAAGGAGATGGCATGCATATGTAACAATTTCACATACACACCACACATGCACTCGCATACAAAAATTATAGTTACCACTGTTTCTTTTATTGATATTTCTCTGGCATCCTCTATTGGTTAAAGTATCCAATACTTCTTCATTTTCCTCCTCTTTCTCCATCTCCAGCTCACTGTCTTCTCCTTCTTCCAGATAGCCATAATCATCATCATCATCATCCATCTCCAGTACACTATCTTCTCCTTCTTCCTGATAGTTATAATCTTCTTCTTCATCATCTTCTTGTCCTTGTTCTTCCCCACTTTCTCCCTCCTCAACTAGATATGAAACACTCTTCTCACATCCATCAAACCCATATACTTTCACATCGAACACAGAACATCCAACATAACTGAAAACTAAAATATCTTCTTCCTTTATGGAGTTATCATCAATGAATCTCCTCCAACCCTTCTCAAAAAACATTCTGCCATCACATTTGTTCACCTCCACATGCCAGCATTGCCCTTTGCAATTTCTAAAAGTGGCTGTTGCAGGCATAGGCACCAATCCATTTGAACACACCACAGCAGTAGGTGGGATGGACTACAATTACAAAATGCAGCTAGATATCAGGCATAAATCAATTAAGTAAGCAAAACAAAGTTAAGTAACACAAACTGCATAAACATATTCCTTTCATTTCTTTTAAACTTACACTAACATGTGCTGTAAAGAAAATCTGTGTTTTTCTCTCTGACTTGCTAGCTAGCACTTGTCTTCTGCAATGAGTGGAGAACTTAGGTCCACCGCATTGAAGCACCCTTACATCTATCTTTTTAAATCCCACAAAAAACAGATGGGGAAAACCCAGGAACCTTGTCTATATTATCTTCTGACATGTCTATACAAACTAGAGTCCAATAGCAAGACATAACCACTATATCTCATCACATTCTTGACATTATATTTTTTTTAACCCATGAACCAAAAATGGTACAACTTCAACTTTTTTCATATGTACAAGCCAAATGCAAAATGAAAGAACCAAAACAAGGAAAATGTTCAAAGAAAGGAAGAAACTTGAACAAATTAAAGCTTGAACTAAAAGACCCAGATGACAAAAACTGAATCTTTGAGAGAGATATTGAGGAAGAGTTACCATTCTTTCAAAGCTGTATCTCGGGAGGTAAACTTTGAAGAAGTTCTTAGCTTCAAAGTTGGACATTTTCAAAGAAATCAGTGGAGTTGGTAGGATAGAGTTGTGAACAGAGTAAGAACTGCAAGGAAAATAAGCAGAATGAAGAGCAAAATACAAGCTCCAGAGCGATGAAAGAAAGGTTAATAGAGCGATTGAGAGCTGACCCTTAAGACAACTTATTTAACCAATTGCAGAAACCGAATGCCAATCAGTTGTTGATCGGAGTTGCATTGTTCCCGGCATCGATTCTCTTTGGGTCCATCTCTATTCTTTTACTTCTTTCTTTTATATAATATGTGTGGTTACTTAGAGTGCACTCTCTCTCTCTTCCCTTTTCCCTCCATCTCTCCTCCCCTTCTCTGCCGTTGCCGGAACCGGTTTCACGGCTCTCTGCCTCTGCCCTTCTTTCCTCTCTCGTCTCTCTTCTCCCTTGTCCCTCTCCTCTGCTCAGTCCTCCCGCTTCTCTTCTTTCTCCAGCATTCCTCCTTATTTTAATCTCGACGTCTACTCATGTCCAAAATAACCTCACCAACTTTAAAAAGTCCATCCGCATCCTGTTGGTCACGTGTTGCCTCTAGCTAAATCAAGTTGTTAATTTTTATATTAACAAAAATTGTCAGCAAAAACAAAGTAAATAAATAAAACCAACAAAAAAGAAGGAAAAAAATTTAATCCAAATACTTTTCAGTCAAAAGCTCAATAGAAGAATCCAAAATGCTAACTCTAAAAGGCCAATTGTCAAGTAAATTAATTCTCAAATCTAAAAATTAATATCCGATTTATGGATATGAAGTCTGATTAGTGCATCAATAATGTTGGTAACCATGTTTTATCTCATAACAGTAGATTAATTATTTAATTTTATATCTCACAAGAAAGAAATAATTATTTATTTGATTTTTACATTTGCTTTGTAAAGATAGTGTTATTATTATTACCTAAATAATGGTGGAGACAAGGTGGTGGTGGGTGGTGAAGCCATCATCTCCAAATTTTTCAATTTTTATTTTTTTATTATATGAATAAAATTTTAAATATATAAATTCATGATTTTATTTGATTACGTTTTAATAATTTTTCATATAAAATTTTAAATTTATCACTTACATAATATTTATAATAAAATTCTTTAACTCGGAAGGCCAATTCAATAGTGGATTTTTTAGCCAAATTTGGAGTGGATAGGGATACAATGTTTTGTACTTGGTGGTAGCCATGGAAGGTTGATTTTGTAAGAATGTGATGACCTGCAGGTTCTATTGGCATATGTTTGCATGATTTGTACCTTTCCAAGTTGACTATAGCTGCTAGTTAGCAGCAAATTAAGAATGTATATCCTTGGTTGATCTGTGCTGTTTGGAGAGAGAACTGCTGGCTGGTTTTCTCTGAGGGTTATAATGACACTTCTATGCTTTTTTTATTGTCTGAGATACGTGTGACATGTAATAAAATAAAGAAATTACATGTGTATGCATATATTCATGCACATGCATGTATACTCGTATCATGTGTAAGAATGTGACATTCACATACGAACACGTAATTTGTAAGAAATATAAAATTATCATGCAACAAAATAAAGAGAAAAGTTGTACCTTATCTGCATATTTGGAAACACATAATTATTTAGTAACTCAAGTCGACTATTCCAACTTAGTACACACAACAAATTAACCACCTAATTCTTTTTATATTTCAAGTTAAATGTTAGATTAATTCTGTTGTTGTTGAGCTCATCATCGGCGGGGGTTCTTTATAGCAGCTGAAAGCTTAAAACTTTTATCAGATATTAAGGGTAAACGCACCAATACCTAGCCAACAAACTTCTTCTCAAAGCCTTCCATACAGAAACAACTGAAAAACCTCTCCATATTGCATATATAGCTTGTCAATAATGCACCTGATCTTCACAAAGTCGCTTACTCAGACGGACATCGAGAAAAGGTTGGCAGTCCCAACTGGGTCTTTACCGCAATTAGGGTTTGCCAAGGGTAGAGAAGGTTATCATTATGTGGACTTTCTGGTGAAGGATTCAAGTGGAGGAGTGTGGCGGTTCCGCTGCTCAACTCGGTTGACGGGTAATCATCCAAAACCTTATCTATCTTCGGGCTGGCTCCAGTTTGTTCGCACGAAAGGTCTTGGAATCAATGATAAGGTTCATTTCTACAAGGAGGAGGACCAAGGTAGTGGAGCTGAGTACAGAATCAAAGTTGAGAGAAACATGTTCCCCCTGTTCGGTCATGCTATTTGGGTTGACGTAGAGAAACTGTAGTGATTAATAAATTAGATGATTATTGTGCTATTATTACTAGGTTTTTCATCACCTAACTGTGTGCTGCTTGTGTTGTTGTTGTTGTTTTCTTTAATTAATATAATTAATTATTATTATTCCAAATGTTATTTGACAATTATGCTCACATATTGTTGTTATATAAATGAAAAATACTATATAATCATATTATCATATTACATTAATGTGTTGTGTCGTGTCATTATTCATTATAATATGTTAATCTGTTTTATTAGTGTTATGTAACGTATATATAGAAAGTTTATTTTCTTTATGTTTTTTGACTAATTTTTATGCGTTCTCTTGCTTTGTTTTTGTGAAAATTGTTTTGTGCTTTTGCTTTTTTGTTTTCTTTTGTTTCTAAGCAGCTTGATTTCCTTTTGTCTTGTTTGTATTATGTTTGCCCCATAGAGTCCATACTTTCCTTTCTGTGACTCTATTCTTCATTAATAAATATTCTGCCATTCTATAAAAAAAAATCAATCATTAATAATAAAAACTTATTTTACTTAAAATAAAAAATACAAAAGTTTATTTGATTTAAAATAAAAAGATACAAAATTGAATAAATATAATAAACGAATATAAATTTATTTAAATTTTTAAAAATAATTTAAGAACTTTTTTAAATGCCCATCCTATTATTCTTTTATAATGTGATGTTCAAACTTTAAGTGTGACAAAAGTTATTGACATAATACTCATGTCAAATGTAATTAATTAGTTGAAGAAAAACTTTGTATTGCAAGCAACACTTAAAGAAAATAGATTACATTTCAAAAAAATATTAAAAAAATAGATTAAATAATTCATAATTATCTCCAACCTTTGAAAACTAATGTTTATTATAATAATCAAACAGTTGCATTTTCAAATTGAAAGAGAAAGTTGAAACTTCAAACTTCAAAGGATCAGTGAGCAAATTGACATTCCAAAAGAACAGCATGAACCCACTCACAATTATAAAATTAACTAGTCTTTATCATGATTGATATATTATTGAAACTGTTTTTTAAGTTCACTAAATCTATTCATTGTCCATCGATTTGGTTGATATTTTTCTCTTTTTAATAAAAAAATTTTAAGTATTAGTGAGATAAAAATATTAATTGATTTCAATATCCAAAATAATTGAAGACGAAATCCTTGATTACTTAAAAACAATGCTAATTGGCTTCCTATTCTAACCTCTTTTTGGGTAACCAATTATAATAAATTAGTAAAAAGAAATAGTGAATAGCTAGAATCATTTTAAACGCAACTGCAAACATATTTGATTTTAAGGAAACTTTTTTTCTCTATGAATTTCTTCTCATAAAAATAAATTTTAATTGAACCTATCCATGTATTACCAATCGATTTTAAATTAAATATGTTTAAGTGCAATTCACAAATAAAGGTTTTAAGTAAAAATACATGTATTTTATTCTTAATTTTTTGAAAATAAAATGAAAATAAAATTGAAGAAATCTAGATGATGAAAAGCAAATGTTGGGCCGGTTATTGACCTAACTCCTGAACCACATTCAGATCAAGACATTGGGCTTGTACCTTTCTTGGGTCCGGGCCTAAGAATGCTATCTTGTGTCCAAATAGAAACCCAATCGTTATGCAAGCCTATGCCTAGGTTAGACCACTATATTTGTAGAGAAAGGCAGTGCACGTATAAGTTTAAAGCAAAAGAATTTGTGTAACTAAACATAAATAAAATTCAATTAAACAAATCTTTTTTTTAAACGAAAGTGTATGAATGGGACTATACGATTTGATTTTGATATTGTTAAAAATAATTATTTATATGTCATAAGATGTTTTATAAAACCGAATTGAAAGCTTAACACGCAAATATTAAATGAAAATTTTATAAAATTTTCATTGAATTAAATCAACGTGAGAGCTTGTCTTTAAAATCATCTGGAGGGATCATTAGATCTATACAAATCCTAACTTATAATAATAATAATAACTCCAAAGATATGAGCCGCCAAATCTTTTTGTTTGTCTTTTTCTTGTTCTGCAAAGTGTTTGACTTAGGACAAAAGTTATGACGCGATACTCATCACTGGAAGCCATTGTCGTAAGCAACGATCGTCATCTTCTCACTTTCTTTATTCGTAAACCAAAGGAACTGATAATATACCTATGAATGAATAGTTTTCAACATTATAAATAATATAATAAAAATTTTAGAATGCATATGAAAATCTATTAAACCTTAAATCTCATAAAAACTAATTATTCTTTTTGAAAAGCAAGTTAAAAATTGATTAAAATTTTAATACTATTCATTTTTAAATTCAGACTCCGTTGTCTTTTATCACTTATAGACATTTGATAAACGTATTGAAGTAGTCAAGCAAAATATTATTAATATATTAATCATTGAAACTTTAGAAGACATTGATAAATTTCTCAATACTTTAAAATAAATAGAGATAAGCAACAACTAAACGAAATAAATCAAATCATCTTAGAACTTTGAATAATATTTATTGTAATAATCGAAATTGTTATGTTTTTAAATTGAAAAAGAAAGTTGGAGCTTGAAACTTCAAAGGAGTGGTCAATTTAGAATTCCGAGTTAACAATGAACAAAACTCATAATTATAAAATTTCAACACTTTATCATTGATTGCTAAATTATTCAAGTTGTTTTTAAGTTCATCATTGTCCAATCAATTGAAATAATCGAACAGAATCGATCAAACTTAATTAATTAAAATTTTCAAACCCAAATTGACCAAATGTTTACCTTCAATTACTGAAGAAACGCAAGGATAATTGCTTGCTTGCGTTCATGAGCCCAATCAAAGTTTTATT